TCTCCTGCCCCTCCACGCTGCCTCCCCCAGCTCCCTCCTTGGGGGACAGGCCGTCATCCCGGGAAGGGCAGCCCCAGCCTCCCGTGCTGGGCTCAGTGCCCCCGGCCCAGCCCAGCCCTCCTTGGGGGCCTTGTGAGGCACGGCCCCACCGTGCTGGACCCTGAACTGGACGGAGCGAACACCTGCCTTCCCTGAGCTCAACTGGTTCTGTGGACTCCCCTAGTGGCTCCGGTCACCCTGGCACCACAGGCTGCCACCGCGACCAGTTGCCCTCTCATGCTCAGGGGCAGCTGGGTGGGCCAGGTGCCACCCTGGAAGCAGTTCCCTTGAACCCAGAGCCGCAAAGTGTGCCCTCTGACACGGAGGTTCCCCTTCCACAGCGACCCACGCAACCTGTCTCAGGGAGAGCCTCGCAGTAGACACCCCCGGCGCCTCCTGTCAGTTTCCTTTGGGGGTGCCACAGATGACGCTGCCAGGAGTCGCCCTGACGGGAAACCACCTAAGGGTCCCAAGAAGCGGCCTGTCGACGGGTCCCTGGTGCGCGTGGCGTGGGCTCCCAGGGACAGGCACGGAGCGCAGTGCTCTGCGTGAAGCACAGCTGGTGCAGAGGAGCCAGATGTGACTGGCGGAAGCTTGGGGACAGCAGGTGGCAGAGCCTCCGGGGGCAGCGGGCGAGAGGTGCTCACGGCCGCTACGTTTGTGCCGCTGGAAACCACGTGGAAAAGGCGCCGGTGCTAACGCCAAGCAAATGTTGATGTGACAGAGAATTACGTGGACAAGCAGGTTAGTAACTGTTTTTTAAAAACAGAACAAAAACAAAAGCATCCCAGAGGGCAAGGGTGGAAGATGGCAAGGCCAAAGGTCAAGACCAGACACCCCACCACCCTGTCTGCCTCGTAGGAAGTCAGGACGTGGGGACCAGAGGCTGGAGAAGGGGCCACACCAGCCCCCCCCCCCGCGTTCGCGTCCACAAAGGCTGCCGAGGGGCAGCAAGACCTTGCCTGCCTGCTCATGGGGGCCAGGCTATGGGGATCAGGCCTCGCTGCAGGCCAGAGGACTGCCAGGCTCGTGGGGTCCCGGCCACCCCAACCTCAACCCAGAGGCAGCAGGGAGACCAGAGACCTGGCTGAGGTAAGCAAGACATGCTGGTGAGAGTGGGAGGCGGCTGGATCTGGGGGCGCTAGCGGAGGGTGTGGGGTGTGTGCAGTGGGCAGGGCGGCCGAGGGAGGGTTGAGTAGCCCGGGTCCCTCTGGCAGCCTCGAGGGCTGGGGCAGCAGTGGACCCAGGGAGTGGAGCTCAGATTCAGGATGCAGAGACCAGGGTGACCCAGTGATGTCACTGTGGCAGGGAGTGGTGGGGGTGTGTTGGCCACCAGGGACCCAGTCCTCCTGCTGTGCCCAGGTCTTGGGCAGGAGGTGGACAGAGCACCCCCCAGCTGGGCCCAGGCCCCCTGTGCACTGAGACCCCCAGAGGCCTAGTGACTGGGCAGCCAAGCTCTCCTGCCACCCCACCCTGGCATCCTGGTCCAAAAGACCTGAGCGGATGCCACAGTGGCCACAGGTGAGTCACCGACCTCTGCCTGCCCGCAAGACAGTGTCCCTCACACCCCTGGGTGCTCTGTCCATTCTGGTCCTGCTATGGCCACAAGAAGGCTGGAACTTGTAAAAGGCCCAGATGTCAGGCCACCCCCCACCCTGCCTCGCTCAGCCCGCAGGCCTGGGGTCAGTAGGACTTGGTCTCTCCCCCTGCAGGGCTGCTCTGGGGACAGACGGGGACTCCGTCTGTCCACAGGACCACATCCCTGCAGACAGTAGGCACCCCGCATTCTGCTGGGCCACGGGGGTGGCTAGTGGGTGCCCTGGGGCCTCCTGAGCTGCCCTTCCCTCTGAGTACCGTCCCCAGGCGCTGGGGCATGGCTATCCCTTGCCAGGAGATGCCTGGGAGGTTACACATGGCCCCCAGCTGCCCCTGGCCAACAACTGGGCGATTCAAGGGTGGGACAGCCCGGCCTCGCTGCATAGCCTCTGGTGCAGTCCTTCTCCCAAGCTCCAGGTGGGTCACCTGCTTCTCTGATGCCCAGCTGAGAGCATCCAAACTCTTGTGCCAGCCTCTGTGTAGGGACCTCGATCCAAGCCACAGTGTCTCAAGGGTACTTCGGGGTCACTGAAGGCGGCCATCAGCCCTGCGAGCTCAGCCTCCAAAGCCCTGCCAAGGGAGCCGCTCCCCTCAAGACTGCCAGCCCCTCCGGACCCCTGCTCTGAGCTCAGCCTCTGGAGGCAAGATAGGCACCGTTGGGGGCGGGCACAGCACGGGAGCCCTCAGCCCAGACGCTGGGACGCTGCAGAGCTGGTCTTTGCACCAGCCAGCAGTCTCTGCGGTCCTGCACTACAGCCCGCTAAGGGTGCCCAGCCTGGCAAACAGGGCACACGCATGTGCACACACACAAGCCAGTGTCATCACAAACCCGAGCTCCTCAAGGGTGGGCCCATCCGTCTGCCTTCTTAGCCCCGTGCCTGCCCTGGGCCCCACAGACTGCCAAGCAGCACCCAGGCTCAGGGCTGAGAAGCTGCAGGGTGGAGCCTGGGCCAGCCACTGTCCTCATAGATGACTGGCGTGGCCATAGGCCTGCGGAGCCGAGTGCACATTGGCCCCTTTGGGTGGGGGTCCAGAGGTCCCCTTCCCCCAGTCCCAGCAACACAAGGTGACAGAAGGGCCTCCAGGGGGCTCTGCAACGCTCCCTCCCCTCCCCACAGTCTCAGCACTCTGGGGGCCAAGACCCCCACTCGTCAGCTGGGTCAGAACAGAGCAGGGCCAGTTCTCCCGGCTACCCCCCCCCGACATGCCTCGGAGCCCCTCTACCAGCAGGCAGCAGGCGATGGAAGCTCTCCGAGCAGGGTACACCTGGCTGGAACGCCCAAACAGGGTGACAGCTAAAGTGAATGGGTGTGAAAAGGGGGTGGCCCGGAAGCTCAGAATGCATCCTGCTAAAGTTCCAGAAAAGGCAGGGCTGGCCTGGAGAGCGCCCACCAGTCAGGTCTGTGCCTAGGGCAGGGGTCTGGGGCATAGGGACGTCAGAGGCCAGCTTGAGAGGTGGGGACCAGCGGCAGATAGTGTCTCCAGGGTGATCAGCCTGGCCTGGAGCCAGAGTCTGGGTGGACCTGCCCTCAGGCAGCCTGGGCCCACAAAGCCTAAAGTGCTGCCCAGAACACGGAGGCCACCCCGGGGGGAGACGGCTGATGCTGGAACCTCCACTGGGCCCCTAGCTTGTCACCCTCTGTCCACAGGTGGCACCTTGACTTTTCAGGACACGGCTGGATGGAAGGCAGAGGCCACGACACCCACAGCATTCCTCACACAGCTGCCCTGCTATGGGGCTCGCACTGTCTCTGGGAGGACACAGGGCCCTTCTGAAGCCCAGGCCTTGGCACTGTCCACAGGGGCCACTGCCCCAGCTTGCTGGCCACCCAGAGTACACCGGGGTCACCCAGCTGTCCACGCCCAAACCTCCAGTGTGTGCCCCACCCCCACTGGCTGCACCTGCCCTGGTCCCCTCATCCCCCCAATGCCTGAGTGGTAGGGGGCCCGTGGGGTCTGCCAGGCACCCCCGTGCTTCTGTACTTCAGTGAACACTGGCCAGTGCCCCATAGGCTCTGCACACACCGGGCCTGAGAGGCTGGGCACTGCATCCCAGGCCCCACCAGCCAGCACCTCAGAGGGGAGGGGCCCACTGCTTGCTGGGGTTTGGGCCACCACACCCCCACATTCCACAGTGGCCCGGACCCTCTGCTGCAGCCAATTGCAAAGTGCAAGCCCCCTACTCCCTGCACTTGGTATCTACGGGCTCCTGGGGCGGGGGACCGCCCTCCAACACAGCCCTTGGCTGGGCGGCTGCCTGCCTCCCAGCCGTCCTGACGGGCAAGGGCGCTAGTGTGGAGACAGGAGCAACGGACTGGGCCCACCTTCCTCGGACCACCCCTCCTAACAGGGGCCCAAGCAACCAGAGCTGAGCCCCTCGAGCAGCAACACGCAACCTGCCTCATCACGTTCCATCTCCTAATCCTCAGTTCGAGAAAGTCATGGCCCTGCCCAACAGAGACCCCCCTCCTCGGTCCTCCTGGCTGGTCCACTGTGACACCTCCGTGCTGGCTCTCATCACTCGGAGCCTCTGGCCGCCGACCTCAGACCCAACCGCAGCTGAGGGCACTGGCCCCCCATGCCAGCCACCAAGGGAAAGCAGCACCAGGACCCCTTGTATACGGCCCGTCATGCTCGGAAGAGGCTGAATCCCAGGGGATGAGCCCAGGAACCCAGGCCCAGACCACAACACGCCCCGCACATGGCGACAGGGTGCAGCGGACACAGCGCAGCAGCGGCAGAGCGGGGCGGGGACAGCATGCACACGTGCACACGCACACACACACAGGCGCGGGGTGCATGAGCTCCTGTGAGAACCAAGGTTGGCAGGGAGGGTGCAGGGAGAGGCGCCATGTGCAGCAGCCACGCCAGGGTCCTGGGAGGCAGGGGGGCCACTCGAGCCATGTTCACGCAGCTGCCTGCAAGGAAGCTTAGTCACATAGTCCACAGGCTCTGGGCAGTCAGAGACTCAAATGACAGAAGACAGGGCAGTGTGACAGGGACAAAGCCACAAGTGTGGCTACGACCCAGGAGCTGGACCTCCACAGCACCAGGCAGATGCTGAACGGCAGCCCTGCTCGGGCAGGGCTCCAGGGAGAAGGCTGCTCGATGCCCCAAAACCTGGGGAGCGGCCCTGGGGGAGCACAGCCTCCCTCACACCTGCCCTCCCCTCCCCAAGCCCCCTCCGAGCTGCACTTCACTCCTGCTCCCTCCGGGTTCCGGGACCACGGAGTTCAAGTGCTGAGAAGGGCCGGGTGCCGGGCACGGCCACCAGAAGCGAGTTTGTCTGCTGAGATGGAACTGGCAGTGGCCACTGAGGGCTACAAGCTCGAGTTTTACAGCAAAGGCCAGGGAGAGGAGGGTGGTCAGACGGCAGTGTGAGCTCTCGTATTGCTTTTGGTGTTTCCACCTTTAAAACTCCAGGCATTTTCTTCAAAAAGAAAAAATGAACTAGAGCAAACCTTTAACGGTAAAAAAAAAAAAAACACAACATTTCAAGGGAAAGCAACGACTCTCGTCGCTGACACCATTGCACATGACGTGGTCCCAGCCCCCGGGGATGCTTCTCGGCGAGTCGGCTGCCGGCCGGTCCCAGGGCGCTGTGCCGCACCCACTGCCTGGCAGCAGATGGCGCCGGGTCCCGAGACCCAACGGAATCCAAGGAGGAGACGTGGGGTGTGGGATGGGCAGGTGTCCCCCACACGGCCCTGGAGGGCGAGCCAGCCCCACCTGGCCAGATGGCACCCGCCCGAGTCCCCAGGGCCCCGCCTGTGCGGCCGTGGTGGCCATTTCTCGGGTCGGATAGAAGCGGGAGGAAGGGCAGAGTGCAAACGCAGGGACCCACGGGCGCCAGGGTGGGGCGCGCAGGGCCCTACCAGTTCTGGTTGTCCCAGCCCTCGTCCGCAGGTGCGGACGGCGCTGCCTTCTTGGCGGCCTTGGCCCTGCCCTCCCCGCCAGCGCCCTCCCAGCTCTCCCAGCCGTCGCTGTTGCTGTTCCGGTGGTTGGACTGGTTGGACGCCGAGCCCCACACCTCCCAGCTGTCCGAGCTCCTCCTCTCCGCCGAGGTGTCAGCGCAGGTCCAGCTGTCGCTGCTCGGGGACTTGCGGGCCTTGGAGGGCTCAGCGCTGCCGAAGCTCTCCCAGAAGCTCTGGTCTATGGTGCTGCTCTGCGAGTTGTCCCCGCCGCTGCTCTGGTAACCGTGGCCCTCTGGGGGTCTTGTAAAAGTAGGGGGACTCTGAGCAGCTGCTACAAAACCAGAAATCACACCGAGGGGCCCCGCCAGCCTGGGTAGCTCTCGGCCCATTGGCTGAGAACAGACTCCATGGCCAACAAACAGAGCCCAGGAGTCTGGCCCCTCACTCAGAACCCCGTCCCCCGGCAGCTCTGCGGGGCCTCTGCCAGGAGAGTGACCCCAGGCCGCCCTCGGCAGACAGGAGCTGTCTCTGTCGCTTTGGAGCTGAGGACATTGCCAGAGAGCCAGAGCCCACATCCCACTGATCACCCCCGCCCCAGGACAATTTGGAAGAAAAATTCCTTTTCTATCAGCTCCCAACTGTGGTGAGACCAGCTCAACAGGGCTGCGTGGCCTGGCACAGGGACAGAGGCTGGGGACGGGTAGGACCCGCCCTGCTCAGCTGCAGCCACACCACTGCCTGCACACCCAAAGGAGACGCCTCTGCCATGCAGGGACGGTGCGCCGACCTGGAACTGGGCAGCGTGTCCTCCAGGGACCTGTGAGGCCCTACCCACACGGCCCACCCAGGCCTGGAGACAGTGGAAGAGCAGACAGGGCCCCCCTTGAGAATCCCCCAAACCAGCCTGGGAGGTGGTCGCTCCCGTGGGACCCACAGAGCAAGCAGATGGGCCTCTCTGCACAGCCATCCTGGCCCCACCATCGGTCCACCTGCCCAGCAGGAACGCCGCTCACCTGGAGCCCGTGGGAGGACCGGGGGCACAGGGCTGGGCTGGGACACAGCTTACCCATCCGAGGGGTCCTCTGCCTTCCCCGAAAAAAAGGTGGTGACGTCCCGCCATCCCTTACTGCCGACTCCCTGGACCTGGAAGGAGATGGGGACAGGGGCTGCTCGCAGAGACCCCAACCCCAAAGCCAATTCACGCCACCCTGCTGCCAAGACCAGCGTAAGATCTAGAAATAAGAGGAGCCTCACACACACAGCACACAACACACACAGCACACAACACACACAGCACACACACACACAGCATACAACACACACAGCACACGCGCACAGCACACAACACGCCCAGCACACAACACGCACAGCACACAACACGCACATAGCACGCACACAGCACACAACACGCACACACAACACACACACAGCAACACAGCGGCAGTGCTCAGGCAAAGGCGACATGCTACAGCCAGGACAGCCCCGTGTGCACGCCCACGCACGCCCACACGGGAAGAGCAAGGAAGCCCCTGCAGACACAGCCTGCTCCTCACAGTGGGCACAGGCCCCCGGGCTTCCTCCCACCCACACAGCACCCCCTGCTGGAAACAGAACGGAACGCAGCCCCGAGCAGCCTGTGTAGGCACAGAGACCACAGCAGCTCCCGCCGGGCGCCGGCACTTACCGAGGGAAAGGCCAGCGGCAGCGAGAGGGGCAGAGGGAGAGACAATAGTTAGCGGCTGGCCAGCCCCGGCGCAAGCTGTTTCCACATCCCTCAGGCCTCCGGGTAGCGGGCAGCCCTCCTCACACCGAGGACGTGCCCTGCGCTCCTGCCCGGTGCAGCCGTGGATGTGGAGACTGGCTTGGCCATGCCCGCACGTCGGCAGGGCCTGCCCTACCTTGGATGCCAACTGAGAGACCCCGCTGGACACATCGTCGAAAAGCCTCCCCTCCTTCACCTGCGCAGGTTGAAACTCAATGTCAGCTGGGGGCGAGGGGCCAACGAAAGCCTCAGAGCAGCACAGGGAACTGCCGGCGTGGGAGGACCTGACACAGCCATGTGGGCAGGAGGACCCCGTCACGGCCCCAAAAGCTCTACAGTGGCCCCAGAGTGACTTCACCATCATGAGACTGTGCCACGGTACGGCCTGGAAGACGTGGCACCTGCTGGCCATTGGTGACAGATGATGACTCGTATCACGGATGACCCCAACTTATCTGGGGCAGGCTCCCTGGGGGCCCTGCCACCTCCCTGTTGTGCTGAGGGGACGAGCCAATGGGGCCGACACCTCCCGGGGACAGGCTGCCACCACCTGGTCCCTGTGCACACTGCAGCTGGGGCGGGGCAGAGGAGCGGGCGCCGCGCCAGGCCAGGCCGAGTCTGGAACCTGGGCGATCCAAACTGCTGGACGGACGACGCGCCCGGCCTGGCACACGCCCACACAGCTGCCGCCCGAGGGTAAGATCAGGGCGGCAGCGCCCGTTACCTTCTCCTGCGCAGGCTTGAGGACGCTCTCGCTCAGGCTGTGGCCCAGCTCCGAAGCCTGCGGGGAGGGAAGTGCATGAGCCCAGCACGCAGCCTTCGCCGCGGACGCGGCAGCACAGGGCCAACAAGGGCAGCTCGAGCTTTGCCAACAGCAGGGACGGCAGCGGGATGCAAGCACATGGGAGCAGGGTCACATTTCACCGGACTCCCCGATGCGCACACAGCTGCCATGGGAGAAGGCCAAGACCACTGCCCGCCCACACTCGCAGGAAGGGCCCACGGATGCAGGGGGCGGCTGGCGGGAGCCCATGAGCTCTGAGGACCCGAGTCGACAGCAACCCCCATCTACCAGCCAGCCCCGGAGCCCAGCCCACACGAGCGGCGGTCAGTGGGTCACTCCGCACTGAAACAGGTGTGTCCCCTCCCTCCCTGGAGCGGCACTGAGCCCACCGAGAGGGAAGGGGCAGAGAGACCGGCCAGCCGCAAGAAGTGGGTGCTGGGGACGGAGTTCGGCCTCTCCTGACGCTGGTGCCCCGCAGCATAGGGGCCTGGGGACGTGGCATGAGGGGCCCCCCTTCCCCACAAGGCCGGGGCAGGCACGGTCAGAGATTTAAGGTGAAGAATTCCGCAACACAGGAAGGAGCCTCCTCATTGGACGGAATCCGTGCAAAGCAACTATAGCACGAAATGAAAATCTCGCCGAGCAGCCCCTGGCCCAGGGCCCCCAGGCCTGGCCAGAACCTCCATGGGCAGCACCCAGGTCCTGGATCTTAAAGGAGCTGCGGCCGTGACGGGCCAGGGAGCAGGGTCTGTGCACACGCAGGCGAGGAGAGCCGGGCAGCTGAGCACATGCGGAGCAGGCACCTCGGGGCACGGGCAGACTCGGGCTTTACCGGCTCTGGCTGCTGTTTGTGACCCCAAAACTGTGCCGCGGTGGCAGGGAGACAGGAGAGAGCAAGGTGGGAAGCAGTGTTAGTGACACCAGGAGGCACCTCCACGTGCACGGCGGGGTGGGGTGGGGGTCACACAAGGCGGCTTCAACACCAGCCGCTCCCCACCTGCAGCCCGACTACACTTCTGTTCCAAACTGACATGTTCCAGAACCGCCTAAGCCAACGCAACTCAGGGGCCTGGAACAAAGCCAGGCAATGTCCCTGCGACCGCAACTAGCGGCGCGCGAGGGGGGGCCCTCTCAGGTGGCGGGACACAACCTGAAGGCCACTCGCAGCTCCACGCCTGGAAAGCCCATGTGGCCGCTGCCTCCCGCAGGCGATTCTGACCCTGAGCCCTGCAGAGGTGGGTCCCACACAGCCCCGGCCACCACGTGGGAACCGGGGGCCACCAACCAAGCTTTGAAGAAGGAAAGAAGGCCAAGGCCCGAGGCCGCCACGGCCGGCAGAGGGAGGACGCACCGACCACAGCGCAGGGCTGACGGCTGCCAGTGTGGCTCGACTGCTGAGCTTGGGGGTCCCTCTCCCAAAGGGATGGTCACCGCACGGTGGCCTCACACCTGTGCCAGCTGCCAACGGCTGGGGAGACGAGTTGGCCTGCAGGGCCCGAGCTGGCACAGCCCCGCACTCCCCTGCCAAGTGCGCAGACACACGAGGTGATGGCACCGATGCCAGGAACGTCCCTCCCTCTTAGGCTGGGACCCAGGCCCTGTGCGTGTGGCCTGAGAGGGGGAACCAGGCGGCTTCTGGACACTCCACGTGGTGTCACAGACTCAGGATCTGAGCTGGAAAACACGCTGGAGTACGAAAGCTGCTCCTACGTTACCTTTTGACTTGCTTGGGATCCAAATTTTGTAGCCTAAAATAAAAACAAAGATAGAGCCCTTTAATCGAGTGTCTCGCACTGGCCATGAGGCTTCTCTCCTTTGGTACTCGAGAGACTCAGTTCCCGCACTGCCTCCTGCCTGGCAGCAGCTCCCACGAGCCCAGAGGAGCCATAGGCCATGCCTGGGTTAGCACAAGCGCCAGCCCAGTGGGGACTTGGGCCAGGGCATGCCTGTGCTGTGCCAGGCCTGGGGGACAGGGGGCCAACACTGTGCTCTAGGCTGTGGCAGGACCAGGCCCCTGGTGCAGAGGACAAGGCCGGGGCAGCCCAGGGCCCAGCACCCTGATCGCCTTCACACGTGAGGAAAGGAGCAGAGGCCTGGCCAGGGACACCCAGATGGAGGCTCCTGGAGTGTCCCGGCTGCAGGCACCCTCAGACATGAGGAAGCAGAGGCCCTGGGGGGAACCAGCAACAGCTAAGTGGCAAAGCCACGGTGCTGCAGGAGCTGCACCCTGGATGCCTGGCCACTGCCCCTTGCAGGGCCCCCTGCCCTACTCAACAAGGACTCGGACCCCTCACAGGGGAGAGCAGCAAGAAGGGCCTGTTAGGCCGTGGGGAGCACCTGGCCAGTGTGCGCTGACTTTCACTCATGCCAAGAGCACCAGGGAGGCTTCCAGTTCGTTGCCAGGGCAGCTCCAGGCGCCCGGGGCCATCACAGCAGGCCCGGCCCTTGGCTCTGGGCTCCCCATCCCCTCCTGGACCCCTCTCCTCTCACACCACAGCCACGGCCCAGGCCCGCACTTCCCCGGGTGTCAGGCCTGTCCCTCACTGGCCCTGCTTGCTAAGTCACTGCCTCACACACCACAGCTGTCCTGGCTGACCCCAAATCCTCCTGTCCTCGGGCCCAGGCAGGCAAGGGCGAGGCACAAAACCCGACCATCAAACCACCACTCTGAAGACCCAGAAGTGGACACTTAAGGGGCACAAGGTGCCCATGAGCTATTTTACCAGGCCAGACCAGGGCCTGGGGACGAGTCGGGGCCACACCTGCCCCCGCTCCCAGCGGGCAAGGCCACTTCTGACACGGAGGGGGACACCAGCCACAGCAAGAACTGCTGTGTGGTCCTGCAGAGCCGTCCAGGCCCAAGGACCTCCCTGGCTGGGGGACTCAGGCCCGTGCACAGAGGGCTGGCACTCCCAGGACCCCCGTCCACATGCCCCCACAGCTCCCAGAACCCCAGGCCAGCAGCGGCCATCAAAACACTGGGGACGGTTACTTACGCCCTCCTTCGCAGCCGAGGCAAACCTGCTGGCTCCGATAGTAAAGCTGCTCCAGCCCTGAGGGAGGCGAGAAACAGCCCAGGTCACGCGTGGCGGGCGTGCTCTGCCCAAGGCCCAAGTCTAAAAGGGTGACCGCGCAGGGGGTGCCTCAGACACCTCTGCTGTTCCTGCTTCTGCCACGGAAACGAGGCTCATCCCACAAGCACCCGGGTGGCACAGCGTCCGCCCTCGGCCCATCTGCAGGCCCTGGAGCTGGCGCCCTTCCCAACCCCGCCAAGAAGCAGATGGACAGTTGTGGGCGGGGCTGTGGCTGCCACGGGGCCTGCTGCCCGTCCATGTTCAAGGTTGCCTTCTCCTAAGCCTCCAAGGTTAAGATGCAGACATTCAGAAATGTAAACGTCTCATTTAAGTCACCCCTTACTCTCTCGCTCCTAAAAGAAATGCAGAGGCCCCTCCACTTTGAAAGATAACTAAACTCAGCTGTCCCTGGAGAACAGACATACAAGAGAAACCCTACAGACAGTAGCTAAATTCATGCTTTTCTTCCCTAAAGAAGGTCCAGCAACAACTGTGAGAGAATGCGACCATGGCTATCCTGAGCAACGGGAAGTTACACGCCCTGGAGCTCCTGAGATCCACTGACAGGGCTCTTGGAGATGAAGAGATACACTTACATAATTGTTGAATAGAAAGTTCACTCATTTTTGGAATGATGAATGTGCACGGTTCAAAGATGGTGCTGGGCATATCCCTGTCGTGTGGTCAGCCCAGACCACGCATGGCTGTCTGCCCAGTGCCTTTGCGTGCACACACAGCATGAAAACAGATTCCTGTGCCACCCTTTCTCACACGCCGTGCCCACCCTCCATGCCTGCAGCTGCAGGTTGCCGTATTGCTACTGAAAACCTTCGTCGTCCTTCACATGGCAGCATCTGAACGCTGCCCTGGCTCCATCTAACCGGCCTCACTAGCAAGGCCTGCAGGTGGTTTACAGTTATTGGTATTGCAGACAGCAATACTGCAATGAGCAAAACCGTTCTTAAAACATAGTAACAATACTCTTGAAAAGTCAAAGTCTGACAAAATTCATTTCCCTGACTGGAAAATTGGCAGCCAGCCCAGGGTCACACCCTGACACTTGCCCTGAGGTCAGGCACCCTTAGGAGGGAGGGGTGAGGCACCCGGTCCAGGCACTGCCAGCCTGGAGAGGGCAGCTGTACCCATGCAGCTCCCTGCTTGGTCTCTGCCACGGAATCCCCGCCAGAGCTGTCTGCCAGCCACGCTCAGCACCCTCCTCGAGAGGAGGTGACGTGGGCTCCATAGGAAACCTGCTCTTCAGGGGAATAGACGCAGTGAGGTTCTAACTATACGTTTTGTGCCAAAAGTTAGGAAAGTGACTAAATACATTTCAGATGTAAATAACTTAAGCCACATTTCAGAAGAAAATTTCACTGACGGTAAGAAAGGGACCGCACACCGGAACTAAACAGTGTCTCCAAGACTGCCGGCACTGCCCTCTGTGGGTCCCCCCATCCATGGCTCCGGGCGGCCCCTCACACCAGGCCTGCCAAGGGAGGTGTGCGCCGCAGGGCCCGAGCCTCCTCACCGAGTACAGGGACGACATGGCGTTGTTGAGGAAGTCATCTTCTCTCTTCTGCGGCGGTGGCGTGTTCCCAAACCCCACGTAGCGACTGCCCTGGGCCCTGAAGGCAAAGCACCAAAAGCAGCAGCTGGCGTGAGCCCTGCGTCACTATGGGCACTGGGACCTGGGACAGAGGAGGGGCTGGCCCCAGAGGACCTGCCACCTCCACCACAAACAGGACACACAGGTGCACCCAGTGGGGCGTGAGCCTCTGCAGCTCAGCTCAGCATACCAAGTGCTGCCCTCTCTGCTCGTTTAGAAAGACCCCTGGCCGTGTGGCCATTTGATCCTCTGCAAGCCCTGAACCCTGGGTGGACAGTTACTGGGAGAAAGGTTGAAACAGTTTACGTAGCTTTGGGGATAAAAATTCATCTGCCTATCAGGTAGATTCCAGGAGAAAAATGTATAATTTTTCTCCTAAGCATTAGGTCTTTTCTACACTCAAGACCCCAATTCAAACCTGGGCTGGCCAGGGCTGGCCACAGCTGGGCCCCATGCAGCGCACGCTCAGCATCTGCATCCGCTGCGCACAGGAAGGAAGCAGTCCCACCCCACAGTCCGAGCCCGGGGGGGCTGCCTGCCTGAGCTGACCCGTCTCGAGAGGCCTCACCCTTGATAGGAGCCGAGGTCATCACTCAGCCAGTCTTCAAAAGCCTTGTCGGAGGAGGCAGTCACGTTCTGCGGCTGGCTGGGACCTCTGAAACCAAGAGCCAGAGGTTGGTGATGCCAGCGCTGGGTGGAGGGTAAGGCAGGAAATGGCCGGCACCACGGCAGCTCCACCAGCGCCCACTGGAACCACGTGGTCCCCCTGGGAGGTGCCCTCCCACCACCGGAGAGCACCCGAGGCCAGGCCAGCCTCCGGCTCTGGCCAAAAGGATGCTCGGGTCACAGCCGCTGAACTCCCGGAGACACTCAGCCAGGGATTCCCAAGGGGCCTTGACGGCGGCTCTGTGCCTTCCACACTGGCGGGGAGGCAGCTGGGGATGGCGCAAGAGGGACCAGGGCTGGGAACAAGCAGAAGTCGTAAACGGTGCCAGGACCAGAAGCCCCTGGACATGGACCCGGCAGCAGCAGGAAGCAGGGCCATGGGCACGAGTGAGGACTGGGGGGGGGGGGGCCTGGGCACCCAGTGCACACAGGGGTCCTCTGGGACCCAGTCACTCCCCGCCACCCTCCATAGGGACACTCCCTGCAGCGGGAGCAGACGGAGACAGGGAACACCGTCCACAGCTCCACGATGCCACGATTCGCGTAGCTGCAACGCATGGTGCGTACGCTCTAGGAGAAGCTGTGTGGGGCTCGCCCCTGCAGACCAGGGAGGAACTGTTTTTTATTTTAGATGTGTCTTTTTTTATTGGTTGAATCTTTACTAAAAGCTGTTTTTCCCCCTGGCTTTTGGGAAGGAACAGCTCACAACCGTAGCTGTTACAATAGCAGGAAATTGAGGCTTCTGTGGGGACACCGAGCTATGGCTAAGATTAGGGCTTGGCAGGGAGCAGGGCTGAGGCCTAACTCGCAGGCAGGGGAGCAGCTACCGGTGGGTGGTGGGCGGCAGCATCCTGGGCTGAGGCGGGATCCAGTTCTGGGCAGGCGAGGACTCCGCAGACCACTCTCTGCCGTCAGCCAGGGTGGCCACCTGACAAGGGGACACAGGTAGTTAGCACGGACTGTCCGGTGCCACCCGTGGACCCATCTACTCAGGCACAGCCAGCCACAGCTCGCCCAGACCACCACCACACGCAGCCTCCTCCCCGGCCTTGGCGGCCACAGGCTCAGATCTGCACAACAGGTCTCCCTGGCCGTGATGGACGACTGCATTAGTGAGCTCCTGAACAGTGAGGCCCCAACTTCAAACCCACAGGAACCACACATGTGGCCCCTGATTTCCAGAAGTATCGCAGCCGTGGCATCATGGATCACAGGCCCTTCGCCTGGAGTTGGGGAGGTCTCGTTCGTCTCTGTCAACTACGGGACACTTGTCTCTCCTCTGAGAAGAAGACGCTGGCTTGGAGGCAGCAGGGGCCAGTGTCCCTGTCTGCACCCGAACTGTGCCCCGATGGGCATGTCAGAACTGATGGAAGATTCTAACTCCAGAACCACTGAATACCACGGCCCAAGTGCCACAAGGGGTGGAGCAGGCACCACACCGGCGAGTGGGGGCTGGTCATTACCTTATCCCTGAATAACGCTGCGGCTCTGCTATTGTACTTCTCCTGCAGGGACCAGCAGGGATCGTAATCCTCCTGGGACTCCAGGAACTCCCGGAACTTGGCGTTCCCACCAGCCTTCATCTTCTCAAGCTCGAGGTCCTTCCATTTGTCCATGGTGACGGAGCGCACGAAGCTGGAAACCAGAGGCCTGACCTAATCACCAAGCACTGGGGACTCCCAGGGCCTCCCCGCCAAAACCAGGGCTGTGACTCTGACAGCCTGAGGAGCTGCATGGAGCTGAGTGCCAGCCGGCTGAAACCCTGCGCCACGGTGTCCCTGGAGCAGGCCAGGTTAGACATGGGATCCTGCAGAGGCTGGACAGCAGGACACTGACCTGAGGTGTACCCCGAGCCCGCGGTGTCTCCCCGAGCACTCCAGGCAGATCCAGATGCCGTAGGTCACACTAACCCACTGGGGATTGAACGCGCCACACTCAAAACAAACCTGCAAAGGGCCACAAACAATTTGCCGGGTGGCTCAGGGCAGAACCCAGGGACCCCCAAGGATACAACAGGTGACCCCTAGAGAGGCCAGGCAGCAGGAGCTGGCCCTGGACAAGAGCTCGCACAAACAAGCCAGTGGCCAGACAGTGGGCCGGGGCGAAGCCTCAAGGGAAAGAGCCTCCCAGGCGATGCAATGTCTGAGGGGAAGACCAGGTGGACACGCCCTGAGAAACGTGGCAGGAGCCCCCAGCCCCAGCAGCCAGCCCTGGTGAGCACCAGAAACAGCCTCTTCAGCCATCAGCTGCTCCCCCCAACCCGCTCAGCACGGCCATGCACCACGAGTGCAGCTATTCCACAGAGCGACACGACAGCCGTGCGCTGCTCCCTGGAGACCAGCCAGCCCTGGGCAAAGCGTGGACGGGAGGCAGCGCTCACATTGTTTTCATCTTGCACTCGGACTTCTTTAAGCACCTTCCTGGTTCGTGGGCTGGCCATGCTGCTGCAAAGGAGAAAAACAAACTTTTTAAATTTATAAACAGATAATTTTACAAGGAATAAAATAAACTGTCCCTTCAAAAATACTATAGGACAGGTAAGAAAAATCCCACTGAGCTGCTTAGGAGAAGCTATAGAGAGACACTTGGCAACGATAGGGACCCCCGCTGTAGGGCCCCCCACCCCACCCCCGCCCACGCTACGGTACTCCCAGGCCACGGCCATTGCAATGATTCGGAACACCACATAATTACTGGGATCTCCTTTACATAAGCATCATGTACCACCAAAACTGTATAATTCATAGGAAATCCTGTTTTCCAATGGTGAAATCCACAGCAAGTAGCAGTCCTTATAGAACACACATACATTTCACACTTAAAAGGAAACACATCTGGTCACTTCTGGGGACCATGCATGCTAGCCCTCCCCTCCACCTCTCCAACATGGTACGGCGGGGGGGGCTCCCGCCTGGGCCGGGGCAGAAGCAGAGCCCCCGACCGCTGTGTATGAAAAGACCAGCCTGCTGGAGCATCCATGGAGGAGCTGGTGGCTCCTCCGTGGGGCCACCCTGGGCATGGAGGCACCAGATCCTGTGGCCACAGCAAGACAAGGACTGCCGCCTATGGGCCACCAGACCTGCCACGATACCTCACAGGGACACTGGTGGGGACAGCGGCAATGAGGCTCAGGCTGAAGAGAAAATCCACTTCCTCAGGGATCTACTGGCTCCAGCGGAACTCAGCTTCAGCTGACGGCCCACTTAACCCACAACCAGGAAAGTCAGTATAAAGAGACTCAGAGCCAGAGAAAGGGTGTGAGGCCAACCCCAGCGTCAGCTGCGAATGAACACACATGGTGGTGTGTGTTGCCACCTGAGTTAGGGGAACAGCTCACAGGTCCAGCACACACCGCAGAGCAGACGTAGGACAGAGCGTCCAGCCTGGAGGCAGTGGAACTGGACCTCAGGCCACCTGTACCCCTGCCGGCCACAACTGCGCGCTGGCTCTCTGACGCTCACCTGCCTCTCGGGATGAACAGAGCTGTGGGCTGTTTCCCCAACTCACACGGCAACACGCCACTGCATGAGGAACACAGCACCCTAGAGCTGGGAAGCTACACACGTGCACTGCTGTCCTTTCCAGCAGCATCCCTTCCTCCTTCACTGCTGTATTTAAGGTGATGGTTTAGACCAACCAGCTTTTCTACTAGTGGCACAGGGGGAGCTTCACTCCACGTATGGGTTAAAAAAAAAGTTTCAGAAAAACTCTGTCCCACACTTGGCCTTCAGTCTTAAATGTGCAGAGATGAGGCATCCCTGAGGGGGCCCTGGCTCTCCAGGCAGCCAGACCCTCTCAATCTGGCAGCCTGTGACTTCATATGTCCTAGCCCCTACCTTTGAGCTACTTGAGGTTAGGAGATAAACACCGGTTCTCTGTGCCACAGGTGACGGCAGTGTCCTAAAACCACAGGTTGTGATGGTTACTCCAGCCCACAAGACTCGGCCTTCCGTGACCCATTCAGGAGGATAACTGCCACCCACAGCACTGAAGGCAGGAAAGGGGCAGAGCTGCACTCTGGGTTTGAGCTCTCACAGCCACAGCACAAGGGCCCAGGCAGAGCTGGTACACGGGACAGGCACACAAACGACTGTGAGCCGAGCAGGACCTGTGTGGGGCGGGCAGGTGGTCACAGCTGCCCTGCTGCAGGAGACCAGTACCGGTCTCCACTCTCAGTCCTGTTTCCACAGCACCACTCCTGCCCTCAGGGGCTCACATCTCAGTCAACTGACAAACAAAAGTCAGAACCCTAGTGAGACAGCTCTGAATCTGTGAGTAAAATAAGCAGAAGGATATTCCCACAACTACCGCAGGGAGAAAACCTGGGGAAGTGAAGGACGTGGCGTGGATTTTAAAAGGAACTCCACCATGTGACCAATTCTGGATGTTTGAGAGGCTGAGTTCTCTGAAATACTAAGTCTAATAACACGAAAACAAATAACTCCTAACTTTCAAAAGCATAAATACAGTCTATCTTAAAAAACAATCCAAGAACTCTCAACACTCGAAACCAAGATGATAAAAACGTACCTCTTTCTGCAAGTGGGCATAACCTCAGTAAACGTTGGACCAAGTGGGGGCACTTTTCCTTGGTTAAACCACCTGGAACACTCTCAACACACGCGATCAAAAGAGATAATTAAGGACACCACTTAGTCCCCAGGGCTGTAACACAGGTGGCAGGTAGATAATACTAATCATCTTTCTCAGAAACTGTCCGAAGCACCAGAAACACCCATCTCTGAGAACAGCAGCCCTTTCTCCTTCTAAAGCACAGACTATTTCTGAGCTTAGCAGGGACATGGTTCCATAAAAGGACGCCAAGACGAACCCAGGAGCTATGACAGTCCCGGACCACCACTAGAGCCCTGTTTTGCTGCTCTCACCAACAGCGCAGCGGGAATATTAGGCCTGCGGTAAACGAGCGCAATTATTGCTCAGACTGGGTGGTTTGCGACTAAGTTTTCACCAGGGCAGGCAGGACGCACAGTTCCTCTAAAGGCAAGCAAACTGAAAAAAAGCTTCAAAAGCCCCTCCTGGTTTTCCTCCCTCCCACAAGACCACCGCCCGCGTCAAGGGTAGGCAGGGACAGAGCAGGCTGCGGCCGTGTCTCCGCCGGGGCTGGCTCCCCGACGCCTGCCGGACACCCTAGCCCCCCGGCTGCGGAAGCGGCGGGGCTCGGGGTTCGGGGCCCCACGCCGGGTCCTGGGTCCGAAGGAGCTCGGGAAGAGGGTGCTGAGGGGACTGGGCAGGGCCCGGCTCGCCCCAGGGCTGTGGGGGGGGAGGCCCCCGGCCCGGGCTGGAGCAGCGCAGGGCGAGGGCGGCGGGAGCCCCGCGCAGGCCCACACTGAGCGCCGAGGGGCGCGCGGCGAGCGAGGCGGACGCGGCCGGACCGGGCGGAGGAGCCGCGGTGCGGCGGGTCCCGGGCGGGGGCTGCGGCCCTGAGGGGCCGGGGGCGACAACGCGTCCGCGCCGCCGAGTCGCGCGCTTACCTGGCGGGTGGGGCTGCGGGCCGGGCCGGGTTGGGGTTGGGATCCGGGTCGGGCCGGGCCGGGGTCGCGCCGTCCAGCTGCACAGAGGCTGCGCGATGCTCGCCCACCGGCCGCCACCAGCCGCCACCAGCTTCCGGCTACGTTGCGCTTTGCAAGGCCTCACGGGAGCCGGCAGGGGCGGGACTTCCGCCTCGGGTTCGAGTCCGGAAGTGCGCGCCCGCGCGGTTGCCATGGAGACGCAGCGGTTCAGGGCCCACGACGCGCGGACTGCGCAGGCTGCGCCGGGGACCTGCAGGGCAGGGGCAGAGGGTGTCGGGCGGGGTCGCCTCCGGGAGGCCAAGGCAGGGACTTCGGTTGGTTTTTACTGGTTGCTTTTCTGCCTACCCCGCATGTTTTTCATTGATGGATGTGACTCTAGAAATAATTGAGAGCAAGCATTTTTATCGAGGTGCCACTTTTGTACAGTGAAATGTACAGTTCAGAGAGTTTTGCATCGGCCCGTGTAACCCTCAGTCAATTATAGAACACAGTCGGTTATAGAACATTTCTAACAGCGGCAGCCACTCTTTGCTTCCCACCCCCATGTTTTAGTGTCGTCTGTTCTAGAATTCGGCATAAACAGCATCATGCAAAATGTACTCTTCCGCGATGTCCTCTTTCACTTATCATGTGTTTGAGATTAATCCACGCTGTTGTGCGTTATCAATAACTGGTTCCTTTTCATTGCTAAGTAGTAGTTCATTGAATGAATATGCCTCATTTGTTCACTCACATGTTGGACACTGGAGTTGTCTCTAAGTTTTGGCTATTGTGAACAAAGCTTCCTTGAAATTCAAGTATTTTGTGGGCATTTTTAAAAAATCATTTCTCTTGGGTAATTACCTAGAAATGAAATTTCTGGGTGATGGGATAAGTGCATATTGAACTTTTTAAGAAAGTGCTAAACAGTTTTCCAAAATGATTGTACCATTTTATACTTCCGCCAGCAATATGGGAGTTCCAGTTGCTCCATATCTTTGTTGACACTTAACATTGTCAGTCTTTTTATTGCAGCTAGTGGCTACAAAGTGGTGTCTCATTGCAGTTTGTTTGCACTTCTCTACATGATCGTTTGAAAGCTCCCCTGGGCACTCTCAACTTCCCCACAATTCCAGCCTGCCTAGATGAGCATTCCCCTGCAGCCAAGGGAAGCCCTTGGGAGGGTGTTGGGGGCTGATTCTGGTGGTATACCTTATACTAATCATTCACTATAGTCTGTAATGTCCATGTGCTGCCTGACACAGCAGTAGTCAGCATTTTCTTCAGACATGGTTGCTGCCTTGTGACTTGATAAAAGGCCTGAGTTGTTGCACATAAGCAAATGAACAATGTGCAATGTTGCACATAAGCAAATGAACAATGTTTTTGCACTAAAGCCAATAAACACTTTAAGGTCCCGTCCTTTATACAGGGTTCAAGACCCCCCAGGGTTCCAGACCCTGCTCAGTTCAGGGTTCAAGACCCCCAGGGTTCCAGACCCTGCTCAGTTCAGGGTTCAAGACCCCACAGGGTTCAAGACCCTGCTCTTATTCCCAAGAGTCTCCTGTCAGATGCCACTTACCATTAGCAGAAGGGGTAATCCTCTTGGTCTCAATCCCAGGCGGTGGCTCCTCCCAGGCCCCCACGGTTGTGCCTGTTTTAGGTCGCCCCCTTCCATGGGGAGTCTTACCCGTCATTAACTACCAACCATCAATTGGGCCGTCTTTGGGGAGATCTTTCTTGTTTTATTCTCATGGCCTCCAGACTCCCACCACGGGGGCCCTCCGTGTGGGAGTTGGGAGCATTTGCTTATGTGCAACAACTCAGGCCTCTTATCAAGTCACAAGGCAACGGCCATGTCTAAAAAAATGCTGACTACCGCTGCATCAGGCAACACACATACATTACAGACCATAGTAAATAATTAGTATAAGATATAACACCAGAATCAGCCCCCAACAGGAGGGAGTCACTGGTTCTTGTGTAAACACAGAACCAGCCCACTCTTTGTGTAATAAAAATAAATCTTTTTTTGTGTGAGTTATTTTTCAGTTGCCATGAACCCCAAGATTGCAGGTCACATAAGCTGAGCATCCCTAGATGAACTAGTGGGCCTGATTTGTGACCCTGGAGCCAGGGGGAACTAAAAGGTCAACCACAGGAGGAACCAAAGTGCTCAGATCAAGGAACAGGGACAGAATTAAGACGTGAACCTCAGCATCACTTCCTGGCATGCTCCAATCAGATCGCTCCTCATAGCTCTCTACAGGGCAGGGGTAGGGAGGGAGCAGATTGGATCATTGCCTCCTGTGTCCTTGCCAGTTCACTCTCAATAAAGCTTTTCTTTTCCCAAAAGCTGGTGCTATGATATTGGCTTCTATGTGCTATGTGTGTTGAGCAGCGAGTCCATGACTTGCTTGGTAACACTTGAGTAGGAAGCCATTGACGTGCACAGAAGGGGGTGGGTGAGGTGACGTGGACAGGCACCAACAGCATCTACAACAGTAGCAATATGAACAGTGTAGACTTCAGGACAAGAAATTCTGTAGTCAGGACTGCACAGGCTGCATGAGTTCAGAAGTGGGAGCTGTGTGCTGAATTAAGTCACAGTGGGCTTTCTGGAAGAAGCAGACTATGAAGGAAAATAAGTTGAAAAGGGGAGGGAAAGGGAAGCAGTCCTGGAAAGGGCACAGCTGGAGCCAACATCTGGCATCAGGTAACTGAACCACTAGCGGAGGCTGAACTTCCACTTTTCTGATTAAAGTCGTAGTGCTGCCTTATCAGCCAGCCCCAGCCAGGCTGGGGAAGGCCTGGGGCTGCTTCCTCCCCCAGACCAAGGCCTGCCTCTCCAGAGCTAAAGACAGGTGTGGCCCTTCCCAGGACAGGGTGAGCCTGCTCCCTCTGCAGTCTTGAGGCTCATCCAGTGACCACAGAGTGGAGAGGAGAAGACATTCGTAACGGTGTGGAGTCCCGGCAACAAAGAGGTGAATGGTGCAGAACATGAAGCCACAAACAGAAAACTTTGTATTACTGCATCTAAAGTATTTAGATAGTTTGTTTTTCTTTTAGAACCAACCACCACAGTCCATTAGTTTTCAGTCACAGTAATGTGCTCATCTCTGTGGCTCCAGCCTGAAGCTCTGGAAGTTCTCAGTGAGAATCGAATGGAGCACATGAACACAAGGTGAAACGAGAACCTTGGAGCAAATGGCTGCGTGGAGAAGGGCTCCCAGCAGCCACCTGGACATGTGCAGGTGAGCAGAAATGACACTGCTGCAATCCAGGCAGCAGTCTAGGTCACCTGTGAAGTCACCGTGGACACAAAGCAAACCGTTGCCTCTCCCTGGACTCAGTTTTCCCATCTGCAAAATGAGGTATCTCCAATGTTCCTTTTGAGCCAAGAGCCCACACTTCCTGAGCACTCATCAGAACTGAGGCCCTGGGATTGCTGAGGAAGATCTCACTAAAACCTCGTGACAACCACACATGTTCTTTCTGATATGAACCCATTGTTCAGATGAGGAAACTGAGTCACAGTATAATCCAGTAAGTAGTAGAGCCAAGGTTTGCACCCAGATGTCTGTAAGGTCCTCCTCAGAGTAGGAGAAGGAGGGTGTGTGGAGCCAGAATTGTCCTCTGATGGGGAAAGCCACTCCTGGTCCCAGAGATGGGAGCCACAGAGCTTTCATTCTAAACACAAGGAATAGACCACAGGCAGGGCTCTGAGCAAAGGTCCTCTGTGACCCTGGGCAGGCCCCAAAGCCAGGTCAGCCTTGTCCAGAGGGCCCAGCCAGCTCTCAGCAGGGGTGCCTGAGCCTGAGAAAACAGCCAGAGCTACACAGGGCTGGTGCGTGTGTGTGCATGTGATGTGTGTATTGCTGTGTGTGGTTGTGTATGTGTGTATAAGTGCAAGTGTGTGCATTGGAGTGCATGCCGTTTGTGTTCATATGCATGCACGCATGTATATGCTTGTGCGTGTGTGTGCTTACATGTGCATTTGGTGTGCATGTGAGTGGTGCATATGCATGCACGGGTATTGCATGTGTGGGCACATGCCTTCAAGCTTGTCAGCTCAGGACAATTGTGCTGGGCCCCCCATCTGCACAGTGACAGCAGGTGTGGTGATGGGGTGTTCCCAAGGGCAGGCGCCTGCCCAGGGCTTCCTTGCAAGGCAGGTCCTGCTGTGTTCACCTTGCACAGCTGCCAAGGCCGTGGCTCAGGCCTTGGACAGATGGGCCTGGGTTCCCCCAAGCTGTGGCAGCAGCACACGGATGCAGATGCAGGCCTCCCCCACCCCAGAGGACCCTGGGCCAACCTTGCCAGAATGCCATCCAGCAGCATCCTGGCCCACACCCCCAGCACGGCCATCGGGGCGGGGTCCCCAGGCCCCACATTCCTTCCTGTCGGGTCAGCCTTCCGTGGCCCCTGCAGTCAAAAACGCATTCCTGCTCTGGCAATGCAGGCAGCTCTCGGGGAGCACCACTGCCCGCATCTAGACGTGAAGCCAGCTAGCCTGCCGGCTGGCCAGCCAAAACCTAATGAGCATCTTGAAATGACTTCTTTTTTTTTTTTTTTTTTGAGACAGAGTCTCACTCTGTTGCGTAGGCTAGAGTGCCGTGGGGTCAGCCTAGCTCACAGCAACCTCAAACTCCTGGGCTCAAGCAATCCCAAGTAGCTGGGACTACAGGCATGCGCCACCATGCCTGGCTAATTTTTTTGTATATTTTTAGTTGGCCAATTAATTTCTATTTTTAGTGGAGACACAGTCTCACTCTTGCTCAGGTTGGTTTTGAACTCCTGACCTTGAGTGATCCTCTCGCCTCAGCCTCCCAGAGTGCTAGGATTACAGGCGTGAGCCACCACGCCCAGCCTTGAAATGACTTCTAATCCTATCAGCTGGCCAGGGCTCTGGGGCCCCCAGGAGAGCCACATCTGGGCCCGACATCACCAGACCCCTTAGTCTACCTGGTCTCTCAGCTCACCTTGAAAACACCCCCATGTTGGGCTCAGCCAGGTCCCACGGCTCACTGTCCAGGGGTGTTTCCCACTGAGCTTAAGGGGCGTCTGGGGCCACGCAGGCCCTCGCTGCCCTCCAGCAAGCAGTCAGACCCCACGAGGCTCCACAGAAGCTGCTCATCCTTCCCATCTCCTGAGAACTGTCAGCAGAAAGGTTTAGAGGCAGCAGCGGGAGCAGGACGGCAGGGAGTCGGGAGCCAGGCAGGGTCTGGGCGCATTCGGGGCCACGGCTCTTGTGGACAGAACCTTCCCTGGGTTTGGAGTTGGAATTCCATGGAGTTGGAATCCCATTCCTGAGCCTTCCGTGGCCATAGGGTCAGGGGTCCACGGGGCATCCCACAGTCAGAGCAGAGCAGGGATGTGCTCAGAGCCGCAGCTCCCAGCCCCCAGCCAGCTTCGGCCCCCCTCTGCCTGATCCCAAAACCGTCACTTAGACCACGGCTGGGCGCCTGCAAGGCCACTATGCTCAAATCGGTTCGAGGCAGGAGCCAGCCCAGGGGTTCAGAAAGGCATTAGCTTTGCCCAGCAAGCACCTGCCAGCCCAGCTCCAAGGTGACTGATGTCTGAGAACACGATGGGGGTTGAATGGCGAGCGGGCAGGGCAGGGCAGGGCACAGCCCCCACCAGGCTGGGCGGTTGGATCCACTCAAACCCTCTAGCTGGAAAGTCTCGAACCATTTTTGGTCCGGGAGCTAGTTTAGGGCTGTGTCCTGCTCCGGGCGGGACCCCTCCAGCTTGCTGTGGGCGCTGAGATCCCGCAGGACTCCCGCCCAGGCAGAGCCTCCACGCTGCCCTGGGAGCCCAGGGGGTCCCCTGACCCCTTCCAAGCTGTGGGCCTGGAGCAAGCGCAGGTGGGCACTGCAGCCCTGCCCACCATGAAGGGCAGGTGCTTCCCTGTGACAGTGGGAGGGGGACCTTGGGCCAAGGCTCCCACAGAAGCTCCAGGGACAGTGGAGCAGATCCATGGAGGGACAGGCCAGAACTTCAGGAGGGTTAGGGTCAGGGTTAGTCCATCCCAAAGTTCTTAAGACACAGAAAAGATAAGAACAGGGGAAGGGAAGGGAGTTGGAAAGGGGGTGTCCTCAGCAGTGGGCTGGTGAGGAGAGGCTGTGACCAGCAACCTGTGACCTGTTGGGGGACAGGGAGGTGGCCGCGCTGTGCAACAGGTCACTGAGCACCACCCAGGGGAACCCCCCACTTTATTTATATTCAGAAGCATCCGACATAGGTGCAGTAAGACCACCCCACCACCACCACGTAGGCGCTTCCTTCTCTGTCCTGGGCTGCAGTCCAGGAATCGGGCGGGTCAGGGCTGGACACCGGCTCCTCTGTGCGCAGCAGAGCCCATGGTCTGCAGGGCTGAGAGGGGCAGGGTGGTCCCAACAGTCCATCTGGGTCTGGCTGCAGCACCTGGAAGGACAGGAGGAGGGAGGGTGATCACTGCTCTCCTGGGGTTTGTCCACGGCCCTGGCACTTTGTCCTCCTGGGGACAATCACAGTCCTTTGAGAGGCCGCAGGGAGGGCAGGGGGGCGTCCCACCTGCTTCTCTGATAGGTGAGATTCCCCATCCGTGCGTTTTCCCGGCCTGGGCTCCCGGGTTGAGATCCAGGCCCAGGGTCTCCTGCCCCTGCCCTTCCTGTATTTCCCTGCACGCGTCCAAGGCCATCTCCCCTCTCCCTGGCCCGGCTGCCACGCTGATCACCTGGCTGACCACTGAGGGCAATCGAGGCAGAGGAGCCGGCAGGTGTCACACGATGCACATGGCTGAGGGGCTCGGGGCGCTCACCTGTGCTAAGACAGGAAGGTGCGCACGCGGCTGTGGACGGGGGCCCGGCAGATGGGACACAGCTGCAGGCTGGGGGCGCACTCCGCACAGGCCAGGTGGCCGCATGGCACGAAGACCACAGACACGGCCCGGTCCAGACACACCTTGCATGTCCTCTCCTCCCGCAGCTGCCTCAGTTCCTCCTCCACAGCCCTGGCTCCTCGCGGCTCGGGAGCCCACCGCACACTTGGCCTGGGCTCAGCCGGTTCCTCTAAGGGGGACAGGCCCATGAAGTGTCCCCAGGCCTGGCCCCCCATTTGGGCCGGTGGGGAGAGGTGGGCTGTGGCCTGGCCCAGCCCCTACAGGTGCCAGCTGCCCTCCCACCCAGCCTCTGCCCCTGGAGGGTCTCAGGCCTGCACGTGGCTCCCCGGCACCTTCAGTCTGGGCCTCTCTCCTGGGCGTGAGCTGCTCAAGGTCCTGGTGGACAGGAGCTGTGGGCAGTTAGGAATGGTCCTGAGGCCTGTCCTCCAGGGTTAAGTGAGGCCCAGCCCAGAGACAGGACCAGGGGCTGGTGAGGTCTAGTTCGCACCAAGGGAGGTGCCAGGCGTGACTTCGGGTGCCCTTGTTGCCGGGCACCTTCCCTCCCACACCTCCCACAGCACAGCAGGAACCAGAGGCTTCCTGGGGGGGCCACCAAGGAGCTGTCCCTTGGCCAGGGCTCGGGCAACTGCTCGGGCAGTGGCCACAGACGCTGTGAGCCAGACACTGCTGGGGACAGCAAGGTGAGGGGAGATGTGCCCAGAGGGTGGGCCGAGGGAGGAGCAGGATGGCAGGTGGGCAGCGTTGGGGTGGGACCCCCTCTGGTCCCTGCTGGTGTGCAGCACAGTCCCCGTGAAGCCAACCCGGGCAGCAGCTACCTATGGCACAGGCTGCAGGTGCCGGGAAATAGCGCTTCCATCGGGGCTCTCACCTGGCGGGATAGCGAGGGCGGCATCTTCCGGCTCTTCCCATCGGTCCTGGAAGGAGGCTCTCGTGAGCAGAGGCCCTCCCCAGCCCCCGGAGCCCGCAGGAGAGGAGAGACTCACCCAGGAGCCCCGCAACCGGGGACGAGCCTCCCGGGCGCTGTGCACAAAGTCTCTTCCCTTTGACTGGAGCAAGAATCGACACCTGAGGACAGTGGGTTCAGAAACCCACAGAGAGCGGGTTGGGGCTTTCTGAGGCCCCCTCCCCCGTCAGGTCCAGGCCCTGGAGGGTCCTGGCCTCTGCTCCCCGCCAGCTCTGCAGACAGCCCAGCGGAGTGTCAGGAAGCAGCCTGGGGCGCAGAAAAGGTCCCTCTGCCCATAGCCCTCCCCGAGGCCTGGCGTGCCTGCCTGGCCAGAGCACCATCCAGAAGGGGCCTCCCCCGGGGCCACAGGGACAAGGAGACCCGGGGTGCAGATCTGCCCCCCCCCACGGCTGTTACCTGGGGAACCACTTGGCATGCTCGGTCCAGGGGTCATCCCCTTGCTTCCAGTTCTGCAGACCTCCGCAGCAGAAGAAGCACCTCACCTTGTCCTGCTGGCCTGCGGCGCACAGAGATGCTGGCCCTGGCTGGGCCCCGGCCAGCCCCATGACCCCCAGCCCCTAGGGTGGCCCCTCCAAGGCTGCGAGGGCTGGGGGCTCCCTGGGGGGCCCTGCCGAGTGGCTGGGCGAGTGGTTTCACAAGTACCTCAGTGGTGTCAAAGATGGAATGAGGACAATGTCGGGGCACTTGCCGGGATAGATCCAGAACGTTCCGGAAAGGATTGAGCTGGCATTCCCATTGTCCACAAAGCCACTGGGTGGGGGCAGGCCCCTAGGGCCTGGAGCGCCTGTGGCCCTGGAGCTTCAGGGGACCAAAGGGCCCCTCCCCAGGTCATGCCTCCCCAGGACGGATTCCCAGCTCGAGGAGGGGGGCTGTCCTCAGATGCCAGCCCAGTGTGGGGCTCCAGGGACTCAGCCTCCGACCCCCCTCCTGGCGGCCCCCCCAGATGGGGCAGCTGCCTGCAAAACCTACACCGTCCTCTGAGCCCTCCCTGGGGGAGTGGGGAGCTGGGGCTGCCAGGGTGGGTCTGGACAGTGTCCGGAAGGCAAGCACTGCCCCCCGAGCCCACTGGTGACAATGACTGCCACTGTGCCAGCGCTTACAAAGCCCCTGAGAGGGGCAGGCCCCAGGACGTGGCCCAGACAGAGCTGCAGAACTCTGACCCCTCCTCAGCCTAGACTCTCCCTGCTGGGGGGATGGGCTCTGTGGAGCATAGTGCCCATGCGCCCAGCAGAGGGTCCCCGGGACTCACCCGTGTAGAAGAAGCCAGCAGCGGCCAGCGGCTCAGGCCGTACCCCAGTGGTCGGCGGCCAGTCATAGAAGGAGGCCAGCCGCATCTCCTCGGAGCCCATGCCGGGAAAGGCAGGCCCCTCCGGCAAGGGGGCCCCGGCCCCCTCTCCCTCTTCCTCCTCAGCCAGGGGCTGCAGCTGGCCCAGGATCTGCCCGTCCACATGGTCCTGGGCTCCCCAGGGGCCACGGCCCCGGACGTGGCTGCACAGACAGGGGGGTCTACAGTTGTCCTGCGGGGGGCTGTCGCCGGCTGCCCCTTGGCTCAGCTCTGGGCTGCAGCACGAGCTCTTGGCCCTGTCTTTGGGGCCCATGGAGGAAGCACCAGCTCTGACCAGGTCTGAGGCAGAGATCGGCCCCGGATGGCCAGTCCTGGAATACGTCCAGCTAGCCTGGCTCGGGCTCCTGGATCCTGGGTCCTCCCTGGGACAGCGAGGGCAGGCACAGTCTGCCATCAGATGCCCCGGGTGGGGGAGTGTCCAGGGGTTGCTGCTTTCTGGAAGGGGCCGAGCAGGGTCACATGTGCTCTGCAGCCAGAGCAGGTCACGGGGCGGCAGGGGCCGCTGTGAGGGAGGGCGGTGGTGGGGGCCGCAGGTCCTGCTCCCCTGCACGGAGTGGGCAGTGTCTCTCAGAACAAGGGGGAGGGAGCTGGCACGAAGCCCCTCCCTAGGCATCCTCCCCGGGACCTGGGGGTGGGGGCAGGGGCGGTGTCTGATGTCTGATGGCAGATCATTGCTGCCCAAGTCAGGATGGACAAGCACAGTGGGGGGGGGCAGCACCCCCTTGCAGGGGTGCTCTGGCTGCACAGGTGCCCAGTGCTGGCCAGGCAGGTCACCTGGGCCTTCTCTAAGCCTTGGGGCTGGAAGAGGCCTCTGCAGGTCTAGGAACTTGTGCTCAGGCCACGAATATCTACCCCTGAGTGTCTCCTCCCTCCCCTCCCCTCCTCCTCCATCCTCTCCCCTCTCCCTCCATCCTCTCCCCTCCATCCTCTCCCTCCCCTTCCCCTCCTCTCCCCTCCCTCCCCTTCCACTCTCTCCCCTCTCCTCCCTTCCCCTCCCCTCCCACTCCCTCCCTTCTATTTCCTCCCCTTTTCTCCCAAGTTTCACAGAAAACAAACTGACAAGAGGCAGGCTAGTGGGAGGAAAAGGCATGTGCATTTATTAACATAAGGGCCACAGGAGAGTGAGCACCCAGTGACCCAGTGGGGCACAGGTGCTCAGACACCCTTCCTCGTGGGGAGGGGCAAGGTTGAGGTTCTTCCTAACGGCCATGAAGGATTATTAGGGAGAACAAATGGACTGGACAAAAACTACTTGTCAGTGGTTCTCTGGAACTCTGAGCCCTAGAAGCAGGTTCGCTATCTAGTGGAAACGTCCTCGGGGGTGGCTGCAGGGCTCAGGGGAGGATGCTGAGGTCTCAGGGAGGGGTGGGGCCTGTCTTAAGGTAGATGCTGCTGGCACCTGCCAACCTTCAAGGGCTTTCCATTTAAAATGGGCAGTGTACCAGGGTGCCACATTTGGGGAGCACCGGCCACGGGGCAAACACCTGGGCGTGTGTCATTCTCCAGGCTGAGGCCGTGGTGGGCATTGGCTCCCGGTGGGAAAGAGCTAGAGGAGCCACCAGCAGAGTCGCCTGAGCTGGACGCTAACCTGGGCGTGGGACTCAGTCAGGACGGTCACTGTTCCTGAGTGCAGCGGTCTGGACCCCACCTTCAGTGGGGTTTGTTAATCTGATTACTTCCTGGGCGTGCCCGGCCTGGGCAGAAAGCCTGGCTCCTGCCTGCCCCTTCCCACAGCCCCACGCCCGGTGAAGCTGAGCTGAGAGGCTGCCTGGGGCCAGCGACGACCGAAGGCACCTGGGGATGGGGAGGGTGGGCAGCACGGCCCTCTGTTCCCACAGTCCTGCAGAGCCCAGCGGCCACCGCCAGCCCTGCTGCCTGGAAACAGGAGAGGCCCCATCTCTGCCCCAGATTCCAGCCTGGGAATCCAGGAGATTGTTGGGTCTGGCTTCAGGAAGGGCTGAATCAGGGTGCTCTTGGCCACAGGGAGGACTCTGGAGAGGGAAACAGGAGCAGGCTCTGGGGCAGATCTGACAGTGCACACCCCAACGCCACAGGGCGGAGTTGGAGGGGTGCAAACCTCACTAAGTGTCCGGCACACAGGGAGGCCTCGGCTCACCGGAGAAGAAAGGCTGCCCTGGAGGCCAGTTGAACAAGCAGGTCACCAACCTGGCCCAGGGGACTCAGGGTCCTCTGTCTGTGGGGCTGGACGTGTGTGTTAGTTGAAGCCTATGGGATACAGAGGACCAGGCTCCAGTGTCCCTGCCTGGGGTCTGAACTTGGGTGTCCAGGACGTGAGCCACCAGCCACGTGTGTCTGTTGAATTTAATGAAAATTAAACAAAATTGAAAATGCAGCTCCTCAATTTCACGTGTTCAATAGCTACGTGTGACTGGTGCTCACCGCGTTGGACGGTGCCACTTAGAAGTTAAAGAAGGCCCGGCAGGTGATGGCCACCACACCTGTGGGGTGAGCACCTCTGGCACTCCCTTCCCAGCTGCTCCTCAGCTGGGGAAATCGAGGCAAGTGGGTGGTGGGGCTGGGGGACACGTCAGCCCCAGGCTCCTAACTCCTGGCTCAGAGCTCCCTCTGCCGATGGAAGGAGACAGCACAGGCGTAAATGTAGCGACCTAGTGTCCCAGTGGTGGCTGTAGTGAGCACAAGATTCCAGGGAGCCACAGGAGGCTGCAGAGAGTAGGAGCAGCTGAGGGAACGGCAGGTGTGGGGGCGTGTCAGGTGTCTGCGAGGGTCTGCCTTCTGACCACCCAAGGGAGCGTGACCTTAAACAGCAAATAAAAACACAGGAGGGAGGCCCAGCGGACAGGTCAAGAGAGGCGGTGGCGGGAAGGAAAGGTGCAGAGCTGTGCTCCTGCGTTTTGAACAAGGGCTCTGAGTGTTCATCGTGCCCTGCTGGGACCACCTGGCTGACAGCAGCCCTCCGGTTGCCAGGTGAGGCCTTTCCTCCCCAGAGCAGAACTGCAGGTGCCTCGGGCAGCAGCCTGCATTGCTAGGTTGACGAGGGTCGAGCCACCTGGGGTGGGGCAGTGTTGCAAGAGCCACGTGGTCCCTGCAAGCCCTTCAATTCCCGGGGCTGCATCAGCGGGTGAGGCCGAGGCTTTGTAGCAGACCCTCGGGAGACGCCAGCCCGCACCTGTCCTTACTGTGGTGTGAGAAGGCGCCCCTGGAGTTGAGACAGCCGACTGCGATGCCTGCAGGGAGCTGAGGCCTGCAGACAAGCAGCCCTGGGGCCAGCACGTGGGTGTACCACCCATACTGGGCTGCTGACCCCTCTTGGAAGTTGTGCAAGGGGCAAAGCCTCGGCGGGGCAAGTGCCAGGGCTCAGCTGTGGCCTCAAAACCCCTGGGCCACCTGGAGAAGTTGCCACAGCCCTCTGACCCATTTCTGCCCACAACATGAGTTGCTGCCTGTTCCTTGTGAGGGAGAAACAGCTGGCCCTGACACCTGGGTGCTGGGTGACCTCCCTTTCCCAGGCCAGGAGCTCCAGCCCAGGCTGGGGCATGGATGTAGGCCTGGGACGTTGAGTCAGAGTCCGTCACAAATGTCCAGCGTCCAGGCGACCAAAGGTCCCCCCACACACATCTGGTGTTGAGGTGGCAATGCACCCCACCTGCCAGGACTATGTTTCAACTACAGAAAGGCTCTGAAGTGCGGGGCCCGTGGCCCCATGCCCACACCCACCCGGCTGCTCCTGCAGGCTGCAACAGTGCAGGGGCCAGGCAGGCAGGGCAGCAGCAGAGCCTGTTGGTAGCAGCACACACCTCAAGGCCGGCTCTAGCACCGTTCTGAAGCACCAAGCTAGGTGGTCAGTGTCGTTCAGGGGCCCATGGCCCCTGGATCTCCTTGTCTTGCATTAGCTGGGCAGAGGGTGCAGATGTGGCCCCCGTGGTTGCAGGCAGCTGGGCCCTGGTCTCCTGGGACCCCTTCCTGGGTCCTCAGGTTTGGCCAAGGTAAAGGCTTTCCCTGGGGCTCTCAGCCTCTCCTGTGAGTGCCACAGCTGGGGCGCTTCTGTCCCCTGCCAACCCAGACTCCGCTGCCCCCACTCTGGGCAGCTCTTGCTCTCCCTGCCTGTCAGGATGAGCACGGAGCCGCCTGGATTTTAGGGCTGGCAGGGCGGCAGCCTGGGGTGGGCCCGGGTGGTGACTACTGGATCCCACCTGTGGGGGCCAGGCTGGTGTGACGGCACCTCCTCAGGCCTCATGCTGTTCACATCTGTGAGTAGGACCCATGCAACCCAGGACTCTTCCTCTCCAGAATCTACTTATTGGCATTACTGTAGACACCCCATCAGTGAGCCCAGTAGTGGGCTGGAAAGTGGCCCCCCAAATTCACATCCACCCAGTGAATGTGACCTTACTTGGAAATAGGGTCTTTGCAAGCATCATCACATCAAGATGAGGTTATCCTGGCCTGGGCAAGCCCTAAGTCCAGTGCAGCGTCCTTATCAGAAGGGACACGAAGGCAAAGTGGAAAAGGCATGAGCAGAGGAAGGTGGGGATGGCCAGCCACCACCTGAGGCTGGAGGCAGGAAGGGTCCCACACCTGGATTCCAGCCCAGTGATGCTGATCTCAGGACTTGGAGAGAACAAATTTCCATCGTTTTGAGCCACACCCAGGGCTCTGACTCCAGTGCACAGCTGTCTCAGAAGTCACCTAAGCTTTCAGGGGCCACTTCCTGCAAGATGAACGTGGCCTCTGTGACTGCTTGGGCGTTTGTGGGTGGAGCGTTTATGGAACTGGGCCTGGTGTGCAGTGCTGCGTGCACACTGTTGTCTCTCATGTCCATCCTTCCAGAGGGGGGTCATCACCCCACACAACAGAGGAGGGAAGGAGGCTGGGGGTGTGGGTCAAATGAGCCATAACTGGCTCTTCAGCTCCAAACCCCACTGGGCACCATCCTGCCGGAGAGGTGTGAGCTGGGGGAGAAAGGCAGGGGCTGAGTGTCCTCTCTGACCTCCCAGACAGGCACAGCTGCCCAGCCCTTCTCCGCCCTTGAGGGGTAGGTACACAGCCCCTGCCAGAGTGTCCCAGACTCATCTCACAGAGGCAGGGGTAGGGCTCTCGGCCGGCCAAGGGGACTTCTGGCCTTTGCTTAGGGACGGACGGCCCATTCCTGGCTGCAACCTCGTGCAGAGAGCGCCCGCTGGTTGTGTGCTGAGCCCTCCTCCTCAGGAACTCGGCAGCCAGTGCGATTCTACTCGTCTGCTACCCTGCTGGGCACACACCGTTCATTTTTGGACCTACCTCAAACGCATAGACTTCTTCTTGGCATGCGCTGCCCATGGCCCAAGCATATCAAAGTCCCAGTGGGCCCAGATTTGTCGTTGGGGCGTTAGAAGTCCCTCCCGGCCCTGAGCCAGAGGAAACGCCCAGCCTGCTTTCCCCACTTGAGGCAGGTAGGGCCCTGGGAGCCAGCAATGAGCGACCTGGAGCAGGTCCTCCCCAGGGCTGAGCGGCTGCCAGTGCCGCTTCCCCTCACCTGCAGTGGCGCCGGTCCACCTGATGCCCAGGCTTGGAGTGTGTCCTGGGCTCACCGCGGCCCCTGCTGCCGCCGTCCGCCCGCTCAGTGCCTCCGCCCGGGCCCGCCGTGGGAAAACTGCCCGAAGCCCGACACCCACCCTGAGCCGCAGTGCGGGGAGCTCGGCGGGGCGGCCCCAGGCGGGGAGCCTGCGACCGGGCTGCGGGCACGAGCCGGCTCTCTTCGCGCGGCGGGGCCGGGAGGGCCGCAGTCCCCGGCTGAGGCCGAGGTCGCCTGGCCCCGCGCGCGGAGACGGGGAGCAGGACGAGATCGGAGACGACCCGGCGGCCGAGGAGGCCGTCCCCGAGCAGTCGTCGGGGGCGCGGGGACACCTGCCGGGCTCGGGCTCTGGGGCTGGCGCGTGAGAGGCTGCGGCCGGGCACGGGGCTGGGGGGCTGGGGACGGGCGCGCACTTGGCGGCGCCCCCTGCCGCTTCCCGCTTGGACCCTCGGCGCCGCCGGACACGCCCCACGTGACTTCCCAGGCTCGTCCCTCCCCCCGCAGCGGCCCAGGCCCGGCCGCGCGCGAGTGGGACCCGGGCGCGAAATCCTTCCCGCAGGGGGCAGCGCGCAGGCGCGGTGCGTGGCGTCCCGGCGTCGTTCCCGGCCTGCCCCGCGCGCGCTGACGTCGCGCAGCCTCTTCCCCTCCGCCGCCGGCCCGCTGCGCCGCCGCGCCGCCGCCGCCCATTGGAGTCGGTGCCTCCTCAGCGCGTCCGTGTCCGCGTCCCGGCTCGCCGCTGCCGCCCGCCTGCGCCCCGCGCGCTCTGCAGCCGCCGCCTGGCCAGCGCCCGGACTGGGCGGCGGGGTCCGGGGCCGCGCGAGCGGAGGTGACAGGCCCGGCTCGCGGGAGCCCAAGCCGGCGGGCGCCTCGGCCCCGCGCCGCGCCGCGCCGTTCATGAAGCATGTCGGCCACCAGCGTGGACCCCCAGGTAGCGGGGCCGGGCGCGGGCCGGGCGGGGTCTCGGGACCGTGGGCCGGGCCGGGGGCGCGTGTGAGCGCGCCGCCCGCCGCGGGTGCTCTGGTCGGTAACTTTGTGTTTCCTCCCCCGGTGCGTGCGGCTCCCGCGTCTCGGCCCGCGGCGGTGCAGCGAACAAAAGGACAGGATAACAAAGGTGAGCGCGGCCGCACTCCGGGCGGGCGGGCTGGCTGGAGGGCGCGGGGAAGGCCGCGTCTGGAGCGGAACCTCGCTAGCTCCGCGGCTACGGGACGTGAGGCGGGAGGTTTGACGCTTCCGGGAGGTTTGACAGGTCGCAGACAGGGCCCTCAAGGAGAAAGAACTAGACGGGCGCTCGGGGTGGTGCTGGCCCTTCTCCGCAGCCAAGGGCCTGGACTGGATGGGGCGGGGAGGAGGCAGGGACGGCCCGGTGGACGCGGGGGACAGGGCCACAGGGCTGCCCGACCCGGCTCCTGCCGCCCCGGAATGCTGCTCGCCGGGAGAGGCCGCTGGGCCCCGCATCCCAGCTGCACCGGGTAGTTACAGCCCTGTTTTCTGAGTCTGTCATTTCTTGTGGTATTTGGGCTTGGGGTAAACCCCCTAAGCTCACTCCGGGAGTGACTCTTCATGTTTACTTGGAAGACTGTTACCTCCGGTGTAACTAAGCACGGTGCATGATGTTTTTAAGATCGGAGAAGGCCCGGTGCTTTATTTGCCCTTCTTTTTCTGGCCGAGCGCTGTAACAGTGCAAGGGATGAGCCGCAAAAGGTCGCTCCTCAGCCCTTCCTAGCCATCACCCGGCCTCGGTTCTCCACACGTGTTTGGGCTTTCGGAGGCTCCACCCTCCCTCTGCAGCAAGTACATCTTAGACCGTGTCGATTTCACCACAGTTACGACTTCCTTGCGTTGTTTGGGGCTATACTTTGTCAATATCTCACCAAATTGTGATTATATCACTATTAAAAATGTAGCCTAGTTTATTGAGAGTTCTGCATCAGCATTCTGATTAGTTTGTAAACATCTGTTCTGTACTGATTGTGCCCATTTTAAAATAAAAGCACAAGTTTTACTAGAAATGGATGGAAGTAGACTTTACTTTGATTTCCATGCTTAAAAGTGATGTTTAGATTTGAAGGTAATATTTTGCCAACTTCTTGTTCTAGTACAAAATGGTTCTTTGCATCAGAAGGATACAGTCCATGATAATGACTTTGAGCCCTACCTTTCTGGACAGTCAAACCAGGTGAGTTTATTTTGTTAGCATATTTTATTTTTAAATTGGTTTTATTTGTTTCGTAACACACATTTACTATCACATTCTGATTTTTAAGTCATTCTAAACAACCAAGAAGCAGACTGTAAAGTGTTAGAAGTGGTAGAGCTAGCGAACTTGCTTTGGAAACTTGCCTCTTGTTAAATTTGGGCATGAGTGTGATGAAGACGGCTTTCTTTCGGGAGGAAGTAACATCCCACGGGCTGGATGCAGACACTTCTGTTTGGCTCCAGTCTTTGTGGGTCAGTGATGTGGTACCTTTGGCAGAGTGGAGGTATGCTGTTTTTCTGAATCTTTATGGGGTGTTATTTTTAGATCTGTGTGATTGGAATTCTGGTCTGGGAGAGCAGCTGAGAGCTGGACTGTGGAGCCAGATGCCCTGGGTTTGAGTCTTAACTCCACCACTCACTGACTGACTGTGTGACCTGTATCAGGTGGCTTGCCTTCTCTGTGCCTCAGTTTCCTTTTCTGTGAAACACAGATAGTAGTAATTTTCTAGAATGGTTGGGAGGATGACCTTGGATGGTGCACATAAGGCACTTGCCCACAAAGTACCAGTACAGGGTCCAGTGGGTTGACAGTTCTGTTTTCTTGGGCAATTCAGGGTTTCTCTGACTTGGCACTAGGCACATTTTGGACCAGAACATTCTTTGTTTTGGTGTTGTCCTGTGCATTGTAGGGTGTTTAGCAGCTGCCTTCACCTCCACCCACTAGAGATCATTTACAACTCACTGTCCGCACTCCCATGCCCAGTTGTGGCTACCAAAGATGTCTTGGCAGATGTTTCCTGGGGAACAAAATTGCTCTGATTAAAACCACTGGGCTATTTGGTTTAGGACTTTAGGTTTGACCATAGTATCTGCCACCTTAGAAATGTGCCAGGCATATTCACCTGCTCTCTGGTGGAACTAATCTGCCATTTCCTTGCTTGTCTGCTAAGTTTTCTACATCTCTCTTAGAACTTCTTGGAACTTCTCTCCATCCTTCCTTCTAATGCACTTGGTAGGTCAGCAGCTTAGAGCCCAAGAACCCCTGTGCACACAGAGCCCCCCCAACCTCCCAGGCTCTTAGTCACCCTCTGAAAATAAGCCCCTCCTCCGGGCAGGACAAGGCCTTGCTGAATGGACTTGGTAATGGCAGGAAATTAAATGGACCTATTTTTTTTTTATTTTTTTTATTTTTTGAGACAGTCTCACTTTGTTGCCAAGGCTAGAGTGAGTGCTGTGGCGTCAGCCTAGCTCACAGCAACCTCAAACTCCTGGACTCAGGCAATCCTGCCTCAGCCTCCCAAGTAGCTGGGACCACAGGCATGTGCCACCATGCCTGGCTGATATTTTTTTTCTACGTACATTAATTGGCCAATTAATTTCTTTCTATTTATAGTAGAGATGGGGTCTCGCTCTTGCTCAGGCTGGTTTCAAACTCCTGACCTTGAGAAATCTGCCTGCCTTGGCCTCCCAGAGTGCTAGGATTACAGGCATGAGCCACCACGCCCTGCCTGGACCTATTTTTTTAAATGTCTTATTTTCTACTTACATGATGTTAATGCTCCAGCCGTATTATATACTTAATTTTAACCAAGAAAGGGGGAGGGCAGTGGCTTCAGTACACTCAAAATGTGTTTTTATAATGTAGGAGCTTTTGTGTTACATGGGAGGATTTCTTTTAAAGTGGAATATATTAATTTTTGATGTCAGTGGGTAGTCTTATTTCTGTTTCACCCTTGGGGAAACCATGGGGTAAGACCATTGATTGAATGGCTTTAAAATGGCCTTTAGTTTGTAAAGATGTGCATTTTTCAGCAAGATGATTTAATTGGCACATTATGTAAGAGTAAATTCATGCTCATGATTGATTGATTGATTGATAGCAGGTTTCCCCAAAATACCAGCTGAAGTGGACAGTAGAAAGCATGCAGTGTGGGAGAGATCTCCAATTTTCATTTTCCTGATCCTTTTATTCATAGATGAGGGACATGAGGCCCAGAGAGGCCATTGTTAGCCCAGGTCATGAAGCTCGAATGTGGCACAGGGCTCACTGATTGAGGGGAGTGTTTTTTTCTCCCCCCCCCCAGCATTCACCAGACGGTGCCTTTTTGTCTTTGTGCTACTCGTTTCTTCATATAGGGCCATGATGTCATTTTACCTCTTTGCCTTCAATTCTCCTTGTTTTACTGTTTCAGCCATGAGTCATTTGGGAATTGCTATTACTGTATTTTTCTATGTTTAGATATGTTTTGACACATAAATACTTACCATTGTGTTTCCGTTGCCTACAGTATTCAGTAGGCGCCTGCTGTTCACATTTGTAGCCCAGGAGCAATAGGCTGTACCACACAGCCTAGGCACGCAGTTGGCTTTACCATCCAGGTCTGTGTAAGTAAACGCCAGTGTTCACACAGTGATGAAATTGCCTGGTGACACATTTCTCAGAAAGTGTCCCTGTGCTTAAGCAGCTCATGACTGCTTGGTTGTCAACACACTCAATTGCCCAATTATATGTAATAGAAACAGAAAGTAGCGAAACTAAACTTTTTTGCTTTTCTTCTTTAATAATTCAGTTGTGTTGTAAGTGTGATATGAAACATTTGCTTTCTAACACAGTTTCATGAGTTTTCCTGTTTGGGGTTCCCATGCTGATCATTTGTAATTAGTTGAAGTCTGTTTCAAGTTCAGGGTGCCCTAGAGCTTCAGCGTGGCCTCACTTGAGAGCCTCCGTGGCATGTCCTCCCTCAAGTGTTCGTTGTGTGGTTCGGGTGACATTTGTGCCTCTCTGCTTTCTCTGCAAGCAGCTGCTGGCCTTGAGAGTTACAGCTTCACTGTGTGTTACTGTTGGGGTTTTCAAATGACCTAGGGATAATAACACTGATTATTTAAATTTTCTGTTGACTCATTTGATTGATTGACAAGGTCTTGTTTTGTTGCCCAGGCTAGGATGCAGTGACCTGATCATAGCTCACTGGGCTCCAGCAATCTTCCTGTCTCATCCCCCTGGCTAGCTGGGATTACAGGAGTGCACCACCATGCCCAGCTAATTTTTTTAAGTGTTTTGTAGAGATAGGTTTTTGCTATGTTGACCAGGGTGGCCTTGAACTCCAGGCCTCAAGTGATTCTCCTGCCTTGCTTCCCAAAATGCTGGGATTACAGGTGTGAGCCACCATGCCCGGCCTAAAATTTCTTTAATGTTTTTGTTTGGAGTGTCTGTTTGTCAGCTTTGAGTTCACAAGGAATAGCGTTAAGAATCCAAAGTTGTGTTTGCCTTTGTCAGCAGGTTCTAGTTTTGTGAGTCCCTAATTGTGCCAGAGGGGCCACATTGAGCAGTCGGGACTATGGGAGTGTTCAGCAATCTTCTGAGGAGGCTGTTGTGTAGTAGCAGGGGAATGCTTCTACCTGCATTGTCCTTAAAAGGGTTTGTTCTGTGCCGCTCCTTTTACCAGAAGCAAAAGACACTTACTCAGAGGTATTAATGTATTAGGAACAGGCTTTGGATTTGTTTTTGTAACTTTAGTGTGTGCAGCTATGTTGCTGATAAATAAACTTTCACATTCATAGCTTTTTCCCCGTGGAGCTGTGGGGCCGAAGAACGTTTAGGTTGCAGCACATCTCGACTGTGAGCTCCACACTGCGCTTGCCTGTGCAGGAGGCAGAGGGAGGCTGCAGGCTCTGAAGGAGGCTCACTGTGTCAACCGTGTGTGCCCAGCACACGTCTGGAGTAAATCGTCGTAAGATTAGACCAGAACCGTCATCCCTACGCACTGTAGAGTGTGACCAGGGAAGGCATGGAGGGCAGCCTGCAGCCTGAGGTTTAGCTTGTACAAAAAGATTCTTGGTTTCTTGTGTACAGAATGACTTATTTCAAATAGCTTTACAAATTAACTTGCTTTATGTTTAGAGTTTTGAAGGAAATGTGGCAGATATAGTAGAAATTGAGTGGTCGACAAGATCAAAGTAAAAATTGGAATTGGACCCCTAGTGCCTCAGGGCTGTGTCACCCAGCGAGTGTGGGATGCATCAGGAGGGTGTGGGGCTGCCGGCAGAGCTGGCCTAGAGTGGGGTTCTCCTTCCATGGCGCGTGGCTCCGTGAATGGCAGTGCTGGATGGGGATCTGGCAGAGGGAGGGTTGCTAGTCAGCGTCGGGACAACTGCTGGTAAGCCTGCAGCCCTTTGTCAGAGAACACTTAGTAACTTACAACTTTTTTAGCTAGGAATTTGAAATTAGGAATCTTTTTTTCCCCCTTTGTTATATGAACTTCAGTGTTTAAAAAAGATCTGTCGTCCAAATATTTTCATGGTTTTTCAGTGAGCTGTGACTCCACTGTGGCTTGTTTCACAGGGCCCACCCCATGTGGCAGCTCGGGAAGAGGACAGGGTAAGGCTGCTCAAGGCTGCTGCCACGCAGGTTGCCCGGCCACTTCTTTCCCCAGCCCCTGGGCGCCTCACTGCCTCAGTCTTGCTGTGTGTGCGCATGCACAGGAATGCCTGTGCGAGTATTCTTACTTGAACTTGTGCGGTCTGTTGTCCTTGGCGGGGCTGGTTTCTCAGGGTAAAGATAGCTAAAATCTTTGTGTCAGAATCAGAAAGGAGCAGGAATTCCAGTATCAGGGAAGGGCTCACTTGCCAGGTTTTGGCTGAACCCACATTACTGGGGAGGAGGGACTTAGAGGGGATGGGAGGGGCTGCTTCCTCTCTCCCAGCAATTGCTTTGGCAGGAAGCACAGCAGGTAGAGCGGGAAGCTTGATGGGTTTGCACAGCGCCACGTCTGTGTGACCCGAGTGCTGGATTTATCTGTTTAATATTCAAATGGATTTTCAGGGATATTAAATGTTTAACGTAATGTGTATTTTCTCATGTTATGTTCTGTTTTAGGTGAGGCTCTCGTCAGAAGTTGCCCTGGGCATCTCTGTGGCCTCACCTCTGTTGCTCTGGTTGGTTTTGTGGCCCTTTAGCCATGAGGTGGTCTCTTCTTCCATCTGCCCTTTCCACATGTGTGGGGTGTGTTGATGTGACCAGAAGGCTGCTAAGGAGAGGGTCTAGCTGGTGGGAGGGGGAGGGCTGGCCTCCCTGTGGAAGGACTGTCCCGTTGTCCTGATGTCTGTGAGTGCAGCTGCAGGCACTGCCTCCCAGTGCCTGACCTGCCCACACCTCCCTGTCAGTTTGCTCTCCCTCCTGCCTGGCCCTGAGGGACGGCTACTTCGAGGGCAGGGTTGTGGAGGCCCGTCCACGGGAACGGTTGCAGCAGAGGGGCCAGGGTCCTTGACATCTGTTGTCATGCTGGTGTGCCCAGGCTTTCTCGAATACAGCATATCAGTGGCTCCCATTTGTCTTTGACCCCAAGAATCTCAAAGATTCTGTTACAGGGACACAGTTGTTCTGTGTTGTAAAAGGTGATTCTGAAGTTGTCTGCTGGCAAGTGGAGCATTCCCCAGAGAGGGAATTAGGAAGGGATCTGGTTCCCAGAGCCCCAGGAATTTGAGGGTAGGTCCAGGAGGCAGGAAGCAGCAGTGGGGCTGCTGGGTCACCACAGTCTGTGGCATTGGCTGGTGTTGAGCGGGGCGCTCTGAGGACCAGCAGTGACTACGGGGAGAGTTGTTTCCTGTCAGCAGAGAAGCGGATCTGCCACACCGTCTGGGGTGCCAAACCTGCCTCACTGCCCCTGACTGGCTGTCAGTACCCAGGACACCACTGTCCTTTGCAGTGTGGTCTTTGACCACATGTGGGGTAAACATGGGAGGGCAGCGGGTCTTGCTAGAAGAAGCTGTAGGTCGGAAGAGGAGGTCTCTAGTAGAGCTTTCTTTATGTAGAACGTTCTGGTTACTTAGGGGACTTGAGGAAAGGGATTAGGGGAACTATTTAAAAATGAGAAAATCCCACTCTATTTTCCTTAATGGCATTTCTGCATGCTTAGATGGACTCCCCTGGCAGGAGCCTTGGCCACTCCTCTGCCCCACACAGACACACACGGCTTTCATGCTCGGCAGGAAGCCATCTGGAGTTGCCTCAGGCGGTGGTGTAGGCGTGGGTGCCAATTCTGACCAGACCCTTGGGTGAGTCTCCCTCCAAGGGGACACCTTCAGGGACCCATGTGATGAGGCACTCATTTCCTCTGCCAGGCCTTGCCTCATGGTCCAGGCACTTCAAAACCCCTCTCTGAGGTTCCAGCCTTTGTATAAAGGTTATGTTCTCAGTAAGGCAGCCCAGGTGAATTGGCATCCAAAGTGCAGGCTCCTCTGCACCCAGAGAGCAGAGCTCCCACACTTGGGGTGCCTGCCCTTGGTTAAGGAGCTGGAGTAGCAGGGCCTCTGTGCTGCCAGGCCCGCTTTGGGAGCCCAGGCTATGTCCAGGAATCCGTTGGAGTGGGAGAGGGCAGGACCTTCTTGGATGCAGAGAAGGTGCATGGATGGGGCCTGAGGACAGCTGCCCCGAGGCCTGGGTGTGGGGGATGAGTTCCAGGAGGGTGCCAAGGCCCAGGGCTGGGTGAGTCATGCAATCAGCGAGTTGAGATCAGTTTGCCTGAGCAGCCTCACGGCCCTGGACACCCTGGCTTGCTGTTGGAAACATCTCGCTGCCTTTTAAAGCTGTTTTGTGCTCTGCTGTGCTGTCAGTATCCGCCCTAAGCCTTGTTGCCGGCAGGAAGAACAGGGCTTCCTTCCTGACTCTGGCTCCCTTTAAATGCTTCACCTCTGGAAGGTAAAGGCAGAGGGAGGGTTGTGGCTTGGCTCAGTCTGTAACTTAGCTCAGATCCTTCACATGATGCTTTGTGTTTTGAGAGTAAGGTCTGGATTGTGTTCGTTATTGACTTCTCTCGGTCTTGACTTTGTCCTCGTGTTGGTGACCTTAGCATTCCTTCTGGAAGGAATAGTCCAATGCTGTGTAAGTCTTGCTTGTGCTTAGCCTGTGCCAAGTGAGAAGTGGTTGGCATTGCAGTGTCTCCGTGTGCTGTGAACACAGTCTGACTTGTCCCTGTTTGTCTCTGCAGAGCAACAGCTACCCCTCGATGAGCGACCCCTACCTGTCCAGCTACTACCCACCATCCATCGGATTTCCTTACTCCCTCAACGAGGCCCCGTGGTCCACGGCGGGGGACCCTCCAATTCCATACCTCACCACCTACGGACAGCTCAGTAACGGAGACCATCATTTTATGCACGATGCTGTTTTTGGGCAGCCCGGGGGTCTGGGGAACAACATCTATCAGCATAGGTTTAATTTTTTCCCTGAAAACCCTGCGTTCTCAGCATGGGGCACAAGTGGGTCTCAAGGGCAGCAGACGCAGAGCTCCGCATACGGGAGCAGCTACACTTACCCGCCAAGCTCCCTGGGTGGCACAGTGGTCGACGGGCAGACGGGCTTTCACAGCGACACCCTCAGCAAGGCCCCCGGGATGAACAGCCTGGAGCAGGGCATGGTCGGCCTGAAGATCGGGGAGGTCAGCACCTCTGCAGTCAAGACCGTGGGCTCTGTCGTCAGCAGCGTGGCGCTGACTGGTGTTCTTTCCAGCAGTGGTGGGACAAATGTGAGCATGCCGGTTTCTAAGCCGACCTCCTGGGCTGCCATCGCCAGCAAGCCTGCGAAACCACAGCCCAAAATGAAGGCCAAGAGCGGGCCTGTGATGGGGAGTGCACTGCCCCCTCCACCTATAAAGCATAACATGGACATTGGCACCTGGGATAACAAGGGGCCCATGCCCAAGGCCCCAGCCCCACAGCAGGCACCGTCCCCACAGTCTGTCCCGCAGCCCCAGCAGGTGGCTCAGCCGCTCCCAGCTCAGCCTCCCCCTTTGGCCCAGCCACAATATCAGAGCCCTCAGCAGCCCCCACAAACCCGCTGGGTTGCCCCTCGCAACAGAAACGCAGCATTTGGGCAGAGTGCAGTGGCTGGCAGTGATAGTAACTCTCCCGGAAATGCCCAGCCTAACTCTGCCCCCAGTGTAGACTCCCACCCCGTCCTTGAAAAACTGAAAGCCGCCCACTGCTACAATCCTAAAGAGTTTGATTGGAATCTGAAAAGCGGGCGTGTGTTCATCATAAAGAGCTACTCCGAGGATGACATCCACCGTTCCATCAAGTACTCCATCTGGTGTAGCACAGAACATGGCAACAAGCGCTTAGACAGCGCTTTCCGCTCCATGAGCAGCAAGGGGCCCGTCTACCTGCTCTTCAGCGTCAACGGGAGTGGGCATTTCTGTGGGGTGGCCGAGATGAAGTCCCCAGTGGACTACGGCACCAGTGCTGGGGTCTGGTCTCAGGACAAGTGGAAGGGGAAGTTTGACGTGAAGTGGATTTTTGTCAAGGACGTGCCCAACAGCCAGCTCCGGCACATCAGACTAGAGAACAACGACAACAAACCGGTCACAAACTCGCGAGACACGCAGGAGGTGCCCTTAGACAAAGCCAAACAAGTGCTGAAGATCATCGCTTCCTACAAGCACACGACCTCCATCTTCGACGACTTTTCTCACTACGAGAAGCGCCAGGAGGAGGAGGAGGTGGTGCGCAAGGTGGGTCTGGCTGCCCAGGTCCTGCGGTGGGCGGCCACATCGCTCAGGCTCTCCCCATTGAGGTCACTGGGAGTGACTTGTGCTTTCAGGTGAAAGTCTCCAAATAACTTTTGACCATATCCCAGTTTCTAAGGAACGTGATACCTGGCATCACAGCGCATCCATGGGGCGCAGAGCCTGCTGCAGGCAGTGGCCTAGGCGAGAGGCCCTCTCACTGAGGCTGGTGCTTTGCAGGGCATTGCCCCTCGTGGTCAGGAGGCTCTGGTCTCTGATGTAGAGATTGTTTTTCTTTTGAAAACCTAACATCCTGTGGTTTTTGGAGATGTGATCAGTCTGACCAGGTAGTAAAGAAAATGCTGGGGATGAGTAGTTTGGAATCCAGACATTTTATGATAAATGAACACACATATTTAGATCCAGTAGCAGCAAACCTTTGATTTGGTCTTTTGGCGATGGTCTCATTTCCTGCCACACTTTAGCAGAACTGGAGTCTGAGCTGTCCTTTCGCAATGGAGTTGAGTGTCTCCTCTTCAGAAGAGTTGGGCTCAGGGGGCTGTAAACTGGCACCAGAAATGGGAAAACAAGGACACTAACATACGTCATAAAGCTCCCTTTATGTGAGAGGGTCTTCTGAGAGTCTCTCCTTTTTTGGTGGTGTCCTTTCTTTCATAAAATGTCAGTTGGTAACAGGTGGGTTTTGGCCAGGCGCGGTGGCTCACGCCTGTAATCCTAGCGCTCTGGGAGGCCGAGGCGGGCGGATTGCTCGAGGTCAGGAGTTTGAAACCAGCCTGAGCAAGAGTGAGACCCCATCTTTACTCTAAATAGAACGAAGTTAATTGGCCATCTAATATATATAGAAAAAATTAGCTGGGCATGGCAGCGCATGCCTGTAGTCCCAGCTACTTGAGGCGAGCAGAGGATTGCTTGAGCCCAGGAGTTTGAGGTTGTTGTGAGCTAGGCTGACGCCATGGCACTCACTCTAATCTGGGCAACAAAGTGAGACTCTGTCTCAAAATAAACAAAAACAGGTGGGTTTTCAGTCGTTTTTTCAGTCCTCTTTACTACAGGAGTTAGTCGTCCGTGACATCAGATGTCCTGAAGTGTTTTGAGCAGAAGGGCGTGTACGTCGGGTATACAGTTGTGCTACCAGCAGTCTTACCCATTACAAACAACTCAGGATTTGCAAAAACGTTGAGAAAGTGTTGGTCCCTCTTTCACTCTTATGAAGAAAAGAGGATGTCATTTATTTCCAGTTACTGAAATTCTGTATTTTAGATCTTCCAGACATAAAATACTGAATTGCAGAATTTGCAGGGATAGAATAGAGATAATTGCTAATGAAACTTTATTTTCTTGGCTGGCTTTAAGCTGGCAACAGGCTGGGTCACACGTGTGTGTACATGTGCAAATGTGCAGTTTTTCTTCTTAAACCCAGTTATACTCGGGTTTTCCTGAGTGCACTGGGTCCTGAAGGTTTGTTATGAGCTTAGGGAGAAAATTCTAGTGTCTTAAAACTTGCATTATAGGCCGGGCGCAGTGCCTCACGCCTGTAATCCTAGCACTCTGGAAAGGCCGAGGTGGGCGGATTGCTTGAGATAAGGAGTTCAAAACCAGCCTGAGCAAGAGTGAGACCCCGTCTCTACTAAAAATAGAAAGAAATTAATTGGCCAACTAAAATCATATATAGAAAAAATTAGCCGGGCAGGTGTGCACATGCCTGTAGTCCAGCTACTTGGGAGGCTGAGCAGGAGGATTGCTTGAGCCTAGGAGTTTGAGGTTGCTGTGAGCTAGGCTGACGCCACAGCATTCACTGTAGCCTGGGCAACAAAGTGAGACTGTCTCAAAAAAAAAAAAGAGAAAAAACCAAACTTGCATTATAGCCGCTCAATCCTAGGACACCATTTTTGTGTCAGGTCTTGGGTTGAGGTTCTGGCAAGTGACCTGCACCTGGGGTCTGGGGTGTTCCTTGTACCCCTTGGAATGCTCCCGGGGAAGCCGACAGGGATGCAGGGTGAAGCTTCCTAGGAAGGGGGACCCCAGCCCCAAAAGCTCTTGGCTCAGGAGCATCAATGTTGTGTTATAATTTGTGTTGTTGAAAGTGACCAAGGACAGCCCTGACGTGCTTGCTGGGCAGCACAGAGAGGTGGGTCTGATTGGTTCTCAGCTGGATGGCCTGGCCGGCCATGCCGGGACTATACAGGGTGCTCTGGTCTCCGCTCTTCACTGGCCGGGTGGTCAGTGTGTTCGCGAGTGGGTCTGAGGAGTTGTGGAGTTGAGACTCCTGATTTCCAGCGGGGAGTTGGGGTAGTTGGGAGAGTGAAGCGTGCCGAGTAGAGAGCAGCGTGGTTGACCTGAAGCCGAGCTTGCTGGGGAGGCCCCAGTGGTTTCCTGGAGGTTCTCTGGACCTCTGTGACAGACCCGCCTTTGGTTCCTCATGTGTCATTAGACGCTGTTGCTTTCAAATGCTCATAATTTTAAGAATCTAGTGTTTTAGAAGTAAAATATGGTTAACATTTTGCAGATTGTCATCCAGCTATGAATTTGGAGACACTGATTTCTTAGGAGAGCAATAGCTTTTATTAAAGGCAGCCGTGCTGGACCAAGTCCTAGATTGATTTTTTTTTAAATCTTACACAGTCACTGTGTAGGGTGCTTGAGACAGTGGAAGGTGTGAGTGCTCCAGGCAGGGTGCGTCTCTGCTCTGGCCCTGGCCGTAGGTGTCCTGATCCCTGGGTTGTCCCTGTGTGAACACAGCCCAACCCAGCAGAGTGACTGTTCGACTTTGGAAACTGGGTAAAGGGGAGAGAATTCTAAGCGCGTGGGCCTTTGTTGGTGAGATTCCTCTACAACAGTGGTCCCCAGCCTTTTGGCACCAGGGACCAGTTTCATGGAAGACAATTTTTCCATGGACGGGGGGTGGGGAGGTGGTGTGGGGCTCAGGCGGAGATACTCTGCCCATTCCCTGACCGGCCACGGACTGGTACTGGGCTGAGGCCAAGGGTTGGGGACTGCAGCTCTAAAGTATGAGCTGTACTCTCAACTGTTTTGAGAAATTTTATGAGTAATAGTACTTTTTTTTAAAGAGCACATGGTGAACTTTGTAGCAGCTTATAAAGGTTAAAGGGAGATAGGACCCTGAGAAGTTTCCCTCCTGAATGGCTTTAACCATTCAGGAGGGAATGGTTTGGAATGGTTGGAATGGTTTGTAGCAGCTGTTTGACTCAAAAGAGAGATTGGCATCTTTTTAGGAATAGCAATACTTCTTTTTTTTTTTTTTTTTTTTTTTTGAGACAGAGTCACACTCTGTTGCCCAGGCTAGAGTGAGTGCCGTGGCGTCAGCCTAGCTCACAGCAACTTCAAATTCCTGGGCTCCAGCAATCCTGCTGCCTCAGCTTCCCGAGTAGCTGGGACTACAGGCCTGCGCCACCATGCCCGGCTAATTTTTTCTCTATATATTAGTTGGCCTCTATATATTAATTTCTTTCTATTTGTAGTAGAGACAGGGTCTCGCTCTTGCTTAGGCTGGTTTCGAACTCCTGACCTCGAGCAATCTGCCTGCCTTGGCCTCTCAGAGTGCTAGATTACAGGTGTGAGCCACCGCACCCGGCCAATACCTCTTTTTAAATGATACTTTATAAAAGAGAATTTTTAAGGGAATGCAAAATATCCAGTTTTTAATTTTTCCAGTTTTACCTTTTAGGGTAGGGAGGAAAGGTCGATTTTTAGAGCTGTGGTTGTCTGCCCATCGCTTTAAATACTCTGGAGCCTTCTCAGGACTGGGGAGAAGCCCCCACTGTTGAGAAGCCCACCCTGGGTACCGGAGCATGTTCCACGTACAGCACTGTGCAAGGTGTGGGTGAAGTTGTCTGACTGACCTGAAGGCACTCGTTGGTTTTAGCAAAGAGGGTTCGTTCAGATGCTGGGTATCTGCCCCACAGTGTTCTCACTAGTTTGAGTCTCTCTAGAGAAAGGGCAGGAGGAGGATGGGTGTGCCCGGGACACTTCTTTACCAGGCGGTGCAGTGTGTGCTCCTTGATGGAACGTTTCCACGTTCAGTTGCCACACTGTGAGGACAGACTGGAGTGGCCTCTAGACCCTACTGATTAAAAGCCAGGCAGACAAACATGGGAGAAGATTCAGCTGTAAGTCCCAAACTCGTGTGTCACACATACTCTGGAAAAGGTTATTCTCTTTACGGAAGTGGAAGATAAATGTGGCCAGGACACCTGACCTTGTGTAAGACCATCTACGGGGCCGTGGTTCTCTGTTTGGTGTCAGCGCAGAGGAGGGTGGTGGGAGGGCCTGAGCTGGTCTCAGTGATGCAGAACTCGCTCTCTAGCCTGTGGAGAGGACTTCACTGTCCTCCAGGCCACTGAGAGGTTAAAGTGAGATAAAATACAGCAGAGCAGCTCCCTGTACCCAGCACACGTGAGTGCCTGGTGCATACAGACAGTTTCACGTCTAGTGTTTCCCATGCAGAGTGATGGTGGCACGGGAGGGCAAGCCAGGGACAGGCAGCAAGGTCTGCAGCACACGGGTGACCCATGCGACTACAGCCCTCGATGCTTTTCTGCTTGTAGTGAGGGCTCTGGGGTGGGATTGGGACCAAATGCCATGCCCCGAGTGTGGATGGTCCCCACGGCCCCGTCTGTGTGCTGGTGTGGTCTGGGTGGCTGAGCAGGGAGCGCTGCGGCTGCAGGCACCTTGGGCGCGCTCCTGGGAGGGGTCCATCTGGTTCCGTCTGTTAAACTCTTTCCCTCTCTCTTACAGGAACGGCAGAATCGAAACAAACAATAAAGACAAGCTGGTTTCTTATTTGTTCTAACATTGGACTTTGAAAAACAGTTTTAAAAACGTGTGCTTGGTCAGCTCCAGCGTGTTGTCCTGTGCAGAGGTTGAGTGTTGCATCTTTTACCTTCTTTGTAGTTTATTTTTGCCCAGATGAATCTGCGTTCGTTTGTATTTTTTCTATGTATTATGATATTGTAGAACTCACTAATAAAGGAGTATTTTTTTTTGTCAGCTTATCAATCAGACTGACCTAATGGGAAATATAAATATCCTTAAAAACAAAGCAAAACAAAAATCTAATATATCCCAAAGATTTTTTTTTATTTTGGCAGAAATTATGTTCTTACGTCCACAGTCATTTACTCTCTCTCGATGAGCCCCGTACTTCTCACCCTTTCTTGCTCATGCAAACGTAAGAAACCATGAGTTGTTTTGACCTGTTAAAATCTCTTGAAGTACTGAAATCAAAAGGTTAGTGATCACCTTGTCCAGTTGGTTTGCCATTTTTATTATCTGTTATGTCTGAAATGCTAATCTGCCCATTTGATTTTTCTACTAGACAGGTAAATTTTAATTTTTTGAATCTGGTGGGCACATTTTGTTTCCGTGGAAAGCCTGTGGCCCACACCCTGCTGCTGCTGCGTCCCGCGCTGCCCTGCGCCGGAGCCGCCTGGTGCTGGTGGGGTCCGCCGTGCGGGTCGGAAGGAGTGTGAGGTCTGGTTCAGTGTTCAGGGTTCCTCGTTGTTTGCAGATCGTTTTAATTTCCCGTCCTTCAGCTGAGAATCCTAGTGCCATTTTCACACCAGGAATGCTGCACTTTACATGTAGGGTCTGGTGGGACGGAGTGTGACGGATGATGCTGCCGATTGTAAATTTCACCATGCGTGTCTAATTCCTTTTCCTGTTGAATGGGTAAAAACAAAACAAAAAAAACCTTTTAGAAAATGCTGTCAGTGTTTTGTGGAATGAGGGACTGTTGAAGAAACCACCACTGGAGTGTGAGTTGAAGCATGAACATGGTGCTCATGCCCGACGCTGCAGCGCCCACCCGCACGTGCCCGTCGTAGAGCAGCTTCGTCCTAGAGCAGACGCCTTCCGAACCGCGTGCTCCAAAAGACCCTCCGAGTTAGAGTGTAAGCTGTACCATTTAGACTTGTATTTAGAGCGTATCACTTCCTCTGAACTGTCGCTGCCTGTATGGAGTCGCGGACGACATCGGGTGACTGTCCTCTAGGAGATACGAGCCTTAATAAACACCTGTTTAGCCAGTCTGTGTTGCTTCACTCTCACCCCTACTTGATGGGTCAATGTGTTTTGGGTTTTTGTGAACTGCAAAGCCGTTAAAGGAGTCACTATCAAAAAAAGCCTGCGTGTTTCTGGAGGCCTGGGGTCTTCGTCCTTTTGTTGCTGGTGGAGTGAGTTAATAAAGACTAAACCGCATGCAGCTGCACTCACGACTCGTCATAATGTGCAGACGTGCGGTGAGTGGAGACCCGTTCGCCCCCTCCTTCCTGGATGGGCCCCTCCTGTCCCCCGTCCGCCCGTCAGTGCCTCTCGTTCGATACCATTTCACATTGCTGGCACCAGTGCATCCCCTCTAAGTAATTCACACCCATCGAGAGTTTAATGTTCAGTTTATTTTCCTTTTGAGGTAAGATTTACAAACAGTGAAATGCACGAACCTTAGGTGCACATCTGCAGAGTTGTCACATCTGTGACAAGTGTGAGATACATGTGGAAGGGACCAGTGTCACATCGTCCCAGATGGTTCGCTCTCACCCTTTTCCCGGGCAGTCACCGCCTCCGCCAGAAGCTATTACTATTGGTGCAGGAAGATGACAAGGACAGGAAACGAGCCTATACTCTGCAGGTCAGTCGGGTGCGACGTTCTTATTACCTGCATCTCCAAGTTGCTTGTGTAATTTTACTTCAGAAAGTGCGTTTGAAGCCATGAGTGGTTAATTCCTTCGTGTTTGTGCCATTTTCTTACATGTGTGCCATCACTGGGCTCCTTTAAAGTTTAATTCCTGTCTGTTAGGGTGGTAGGCCAAGAGGTGGGCTGGGAGGTAGCTTGTGGTGCAACAGGGCACTTTGCCTTTTGTTCCTGTCTGCCCTGGGAGGCGGTGGAAGGCATGGGTGGTGTCGGCTGGTCGCCGCAGTGCAGGAACTGCCCAAGAGGACTCAGGCTAACGGTCACTGACTGGCCTGTGTCAAGAATGAACAGTGAGTGCAGCCTGAGTGTCACACGCCCTGAAGGCGTCCTACACACAGGAGGGATTGGTGGCTGCCCCTCTGCCCACAGGAGACACTGGGGAGCAGGCGTCAGGTCTGGGTTGATGTGGGGCCAACTCACACTTGTTCCTGGCACTCTGTGATGCCTGCTCTCAGCTGTGTACCTGGGAGGAAGTGGTCCCTGGGCGCCACCTGGATGTTCCTATAGGAGACATGTGGGGTGGGAGGGGCTGCCACAAGCCAAGGGGCACCTGGAGCCAGAGAAGCTTGACAAAACAGGAAGGACCCTCCCCTGGGATCGCAGGTTTGTGGTGTGACAGCTGGAGGGCGTCATGTTTGCTTCCTGAAGAGCTGTGGATTCTCAGTGTTTCCTGCCTTTGCCTCCCAAAAGCCAACCCAATAGCTTTTTCCCTCTGCCCCTCCCAAAAGCACCCCATGTTAGGATTTCTACGTTTCATGGTGAATTCTGATGGGAAAAGCCTTTAGTTGGATTTGCCATGTGAGGTACCTCTGGCTCTAGAAGTTTCTTTGGAGGGCCTGGTAGCTGAGGTTCGAGCGGAGCATCCTGTGGCTCTGTGGCCAGCTGACTCTGCGGGTTGCTCCTGTGCTGGGTGCCGAGTGGTCCGACTGGGGGTGGTGTGGACGAGACGTGAGGCTGGCAGTGCTGCTCGGTGGCCCCAGCCATCCAGGGTGGACTCACTCTTCTGTGCTCTGAAAGGACAGAACTAACTCTGGCCAGACACCAGCTCTGAGCCACGGCTGTGAGAAAGAAGCCAGCCCCTGCCGCTCCCAGGCCGGAGCTATCGTGCCGTTGTGACTTTGGGTCACCAGACCTCATCCCAGAACCCCTAGTGAGCTGTGGGGGGCGGTCTGGGCACGGCAGAGACCCTCCCTCACGGCAGCATGAGGCAGACGTGCTGTCCTCACTGAGGCCATGCGCCTGCTCCTCCTGGTTTGCTCACGACCGAGCTGCTTCTGAGGTTGGCTCGACCCACTGCTCATTGAAACCAGCATGTTAGAAAAGCCAGTCGACAGCGATGGGACATCACATGTTCAACATGACTTTCGTCTGCGACCACACGTGGTGCATATGCTACTGAGCTGACACAACACAAGGGTCTCCCACAACTCATCCATGTTCCTACAAACAGCACCAAAAAGAGGACCCACTTGCTTGTGAGCAGTTGTGTGATCCTGTGATGTGGAGGTCTCTGACCCTCCCCTGGTGTGTAGTTGTGTGTTCCCATGGTGTGCAGTTGTGTGATCCTGTAGTGTGAGCGTCTCTGTGCCTCTTCTGATGTGTAGTTGTGTGTTCCCGTGGTGTGGAAGTCTGTGTGCCCTCCCATGCTGTGTAGTTGTGTGTTCATGTGGTGTGGAGGTCTGTGTGCCCTCCCGTGCTGTGTAGTTGTGTGTTCATGTGGTGTGGAGGTCTGTGTGCCCTCCCGTGCTGTGTAGTTGTGTGTTCCCGTGGTGTGGAAGTCTGTGTGCCCTCCCGTGCTGTGTAGTTGTGTGTTCATGTGGTGTGGAAGTCTGTGTGCCCTCCCGTGCTGTGTAGTTGTGTGTTCCCATGGTGTGGAAGTCTGTGTGCCCTCCCATGCTGTGTAGTTGTGTGTTCATGTGGTGTGGAGGTCTGTGTGCCCTCCCGTGCTGTGTAGTTGTGTGTTCCCGTGGCGTGGAGGCTCTGTCCCTCCCCTGGTGGTCATGTGTGGGCAGGCTACATGTGTGTCTTTCCCACTCAGCCTGGCTGTCGGCCTGGGTGCAGTCAGGGTTCTCTGCCTGTGGCACTCGCAGGTCATGCTGACGTGCAGCCAGACTTGTGGAGTCGCATGTTGAGTGGGCCCTGGGCCATGGCTTCTGGTCTGTGGCCAGTGGAAAGTCCCCCCCACCCCCCCGGCCTGCTGGCCTCCCCATGGTGTCAGTGTCAGGGGTCATCCCAGAGGACTTCTGCAGCAAGGCCCCGTCCCCTCTGGGTTGGGGGGTAAGGCTGGCCGGAGTCTTTGTGGTCATACGCTCTTCCCAGTGTCCAGGGCACCTAATCAGAGAGTGACCAACTGTTGCCAACGTGTGGATGGAGCCCAGGCACCTCGGTGTCTTGGTCACTCCCTATTCCCTCCAGCCCAGGCCTCGGGGAGGGCCAGCGTTACAAGATCAGGGCTTTGCCTGTTCGAAGCCACATCCCTTCACATGCATGCCATGTCTCTGAAGATGACAGGGCAGCTGATGGTCCGTGACTTCCTCGGAGGAGGCGAGGCGCGGTGACTACTGATGCAGAACCGAGCGGGGCTTCCCGGGCTGCTGGTGGGCTCTGGTACTGCTGGCCGTGGCAGCGGGCCGTGGCAGAATTGCTGGCGGGTTGCGTGAAGGATCTCCTCTGGGGTGGGGCTGCCAGGCGGTGCTGGGCTGCTGTGGCCCACAGCACCGTTTCTGACCAGACCACGGGGTCAGGGGCACAGAGGTGATAAGGCTCCTTGGGAGGCTTTGGCTGCTGGGAGCATGTCCCCTTGGCCCTGCTGCCAGGTCGGAGAGTGGGGACTTTCTGTGGAGGGAGCTGCCTCTCCAGGGCAGGGTCCTGCTAGGCCCAGGCCCGAGTTCAGATTTGCAGGGTCCCCAGTGTGGCCACGCTGGGGTGCAGGGTGTCTCGCCGGCGGTGGTGCTGCCTGGTGCAGCCCCTGTCCCTGTGGAAGGCGTGAGGCGGCTGGGGTGGGGGCAGGTCCCAAGCCCAGCCCTGCAGATCCGGCTTCTGCAAACTCCTCCACCCCCTGCCGCTGCTCCGAGTGCCCTCCTCGGCCTGGTGGGGAGGTCCCCTGGGGTCTGACCCCTAGCCCGGCCATCCTCTTATCACCTCACCTCAAGTTGTCCTAATTTGACAACTAAGGAGCCTCAACACACAAGTTGCAGGATAAAGGGGACGCCGGGGGTCACTGGGGCGTGGCAGGGTCTGAGGAGGGGCTACACCAGCAGGGGGCCCTTGTCATTGCTGAGGGGAGCATTCCCAACATGGGTG